ATTGTAGAGTAAATAATAATTTTTATTTATAGGTGCTTTTCAAAACACTCAAGGTCGCCTTTAAAATAGAGGGTTAAAACAAGACAAACAAACAAACAAAAGTTAAAACAACAGTCAGACTAAGTAAGCTAGTTTAAAAAGATGTGTTTTGAAATGGGATTAGAAAATGGAGAGATGGTTGATATTACGGATGTCTTGAAGGAGGGAATTCCAGAGTCAGGGAGCAGAGCGACTAAAGGCTGTGGAGCCCATGGTGGTCAGAGGCCCCCGAGGTCAGAGGTCAGGGCGGGTGGGACAGTGATTTGGAGAGAGGATGAGGACCTGAAAGTGCTGATGAGCTATTTGTTCCTCCAATATCTAATTGTGTTGAACCGTTTGCATCCCTTGTGTCTCCTTTGGTATGTCATGGAAATTTAAATCAAACACAGAAACGGCAGATCACGCATTTATTATGCATATCTAAACCATCATACTGTCAGGGTATAATAATCCTGTTGGTTTTATATTTCAATATATATTTGCATCCTTTTATATACTCTAGGTTTCTGACCAGTGTTGGGCACATTATTTTTAAAAAGTGATTATTTTTAGTTACTAATTACTTAAGTAACTGGGTTAGTAACTGAATTACTCCACTTTAAAAGTAACTAGGTACCAGGGAAAGTAACTATTGCGTTACTTTTTTATTCTTGTTTTTTTTTGGTTACATATGTCCAAGAATTTAGATGTTTTAAAGCAGGTTTCCACAAAAAAAAAAAAAAAAAAAAAATATATATATATATATATATATATATATATATATATATATATATATACCTATCTTCTAACCAGTCAGGGATCATCAAGTTGGTTGAAAGTTTTGGGGTGAAATACCCCCAGACATACCGCTCATACCCACCCCAACAAAGAAGCGTTTGTGTGGCAGTGAATCAGCTTACAGCTAATTCCATTTGAACCCGGACTTCTGAGGGGTCAGTTGAGCATAGGGCCTTGAGCTGTTGTCTCCCACTTGCCACTAATAGATGATGCAGTTCCTGCTGAATAAGGAGGAAGCAGATGTTCGACCAAATTAAGTTTTGATTTGAAAAGAGCACTCACTGTAACACCCACAACTTCACAAAGATATCTTGTTACACTTCTTGCTCAGTCAAGCCATTATGTAATCCATTCAGTGGGATCATGATACCCTAAATCAGGTTATTTGGATTCCAGTCAATCTGTTCATTTCCTTTCTTTGTGTAACAGAGATGACTTCGTCCTCTTCTGTGGAGCCAGTTCGATCAGGGTGAACAGGAGGATGGTCTGGCTCAGATCTCATATGATCCCAACACCTGACTGGCTTTATATACGTAGCCAGCAGACTCACCATTTGTTTTCAGTTTTTTTTTTAGATATTTGCATTGAACTCTTTCACCTGGTTTAAAATGCATTCATTTCCAAACACATTAGAGAGGTTGTATATTTGGGGCGGAGTGTCCTCATTGTTTCAAAAATACATCTTTGGGCAGTCTCAGTGAGGTTTGGATTATTACATCAAATCGGCCCAGTCCTGCTGAGCACTTTTCTTAGAATAGAATAGAATAGAATATTCCTTTATTGATCCCCCATGGGGGAAATTTTTTTGTCAAAAAAAAAATTCTTGTCTCACTTTTACTCTTATATTTGGCATCTATAATGATATTTAGTAAGCATGATGCACAGGCTGCCATTTTGACTGTTTCTTTATGAATGAAATAATTGCATTCGCTAACTTTGGCTACTTTCAGGCCCAGAAGTATCACAAACTCACACATTTTTTCACAAGATTTTCCTTTGTGAATACGAACAGAAGTTCTAATGAGAGGTATCCAAACTGGAGAATGCTACTTATAACTCTATGGCAGCCCCATTTTCATATTAAGGATGCAAGCACACTTGTGCAGAGTGACCTGTGAAGGAAGGAAATCAGAATTTTTCTCTCGTCTCTGTCACCCGAGATAAGTGAAGGGGCTCAAGATCATCTTATTTATTTTTTATTGTATTTTTATTGTATTTTTATTATTATTTTTTTGTTGTTATGTTTCAAACTCACAATAACAATTTAAGCCCAACAACTACATAGATATACAAACAGCTAATTCCTTATTGTCATCCCTATTTTTCTCCATCCTTCATCTTTACAATAGTGTGGTAAGAGTAAACAGTGTTAATTAAAATCAGCTTCCCTTTCTTTCAACAACATCAGCACACTTCATCCTAAATTTCTTTGAAGTCGAGGGACCCCATACTGAGGATGTAAGAAGTGACTGTATTCTATATTTGGATGGTCCTGCGTAGATTATAACTGAGCTGTCTGGATCTTCTCTGTGTTTGATGCATGCATGTTTTGGCTCTTCTTCTAGCCTTACTCAAGCTCGGTTTCACAGCCTCGATCTCTGACCTCCAATCCAATCATAGACACTAAAATCAGAATTTGGACTGTCATGAACACATGCTTCCTTATTGTAGGGTAGTTATTTATAATGTGTTTTGTCTGTTTAAGTTGATTAAGATATAATTCTCTTAATTTGATGCGAAAAAAAAGATAAAAATATTAAAATAACACAACTGTGACCGTGGGACACATAAGCTGGACAGGTTTCAGGCATATTTTTGAGCTCAAATCTGATCACAGGACAACATCCAGCTGCTTCCTGATGGTGTCACTCAGTCTAAATTCAGTGGAGGAGGTGCATGAACAAAAGATAATAAACAAATATATGATTTATCTAGGAATGTGTATGTTATCTGGGATTGCAAGACAAAATCACACAATCCTTATGAGAATAAACTAGTGGGTTTGTAACACAGCTACCCACTTAAAACTCCCTGAGTGAAAAATGACAAAAAGCAGGCCTATCAAGATGACTGCAAAAGCTGAGAGGTCCTTCTCACCTCTTCACTCCCTGCTGAAAACCCACTCCCTTTCTGTCTGAGGGTCTCAGGTTATTGGTTAAATTGATTTCCAGCTGACCTTTCCTGCCCGCTTCTATGATGCAGAGGGTTCTTAATGATCTTGTGCTGTCAGAGGTGCTGAACTCACAGATCTCTGCAGAGACTATTAGTCTACACAGACTGGCACTGTGATAAAACAAAAGAGCGAGCAGTGGGGCTGTACTGCAGGTTGATGCAACAATGTAAACAGCTGTTAATAGTAAAAAAAAAAAAGAAAGAAATCCAACACTGGAGGGGCATAGTGAATACCTTTTGTCTGATTTCTCTTTGAAACCTCAAGAGCTTGTTGGGTATAAACAGTATGACCATTTAGTGTTAACCCATGTGTGGCCCCAATATGTTCATTTTTTTATACAGACATGAACATGAATGTGTTCTGCATAGTATTTTCTGTCCTTTTGTGTTTGAAGGAGTGGAGACTATTGTTGAAACAGCAAACACATGACACATAATTTAAAGATTTTTTTTTTTTCTAACCCTAACCCTCAAATTTCAACAGAGCTGTTTCTATTTAGAAATAATACAGCAAAGAATAGGTGTGAGAATAAGCCAATGACTGTGCAAATTTAAACTATTTCAGAAAGGAAAACCTTTAGTGAATTCATTGGCTTTAACACTGTTTTAAATTATAACTGATAGCTCTCCCAACCACGACAATATGGTTCACATCAGTTTTTCTTAGGGGGGTCAGATTTACGTACCTGCAAAAAAGACACTTCAATCTGACTGAAACATGAGGGATAAAATTAAAATAACACCAATAATCAAAATGTGTTTTGTCATCAATGACATATAGCCAACAAATGAAAGTAATGCTGAAAAATTATTTAGACTGCTTTGGATATGAATATGACACCAGATTGCCTCATTTTAACTCATTTAGAAATCTCCATCTCTGCACACCAAAACTTCAAGAATGCAGATTTTTTTTTTATAGCTGCGACTGAAAACAGATAAATGTGTAAAGTCACTGAAAGCCTACTGCATATGTAAATTTTATTTTGTGCACTTAAGTGTTGAAAAGTAAAGAAAAATCGCTCTTTTCCAGAGATGTTAATTAAAGTGACTGTGTCCTTATGGTACCATTAATCTGAATCTTAGTGACGTCAATTAAAGCTTATGTTCAACCATATTCTGTCACAAATCACATCCCTGTCTCATGTATGAGCCCACAGTACAACTGGATTTTTCATCAGTGGGCCTCAGAAGTCAGCAATTTCTTGAAGTATAGGAAAATTATATCTTGGGGCTTTTACAAAAACACTGTCCTCTGTTTTGGAATGACAGCAAGCCTACCTGACATACACCGTAGGTCCTATCAGTATGAGCTGGGCTTTGTAGGCTAGAGCTGAGGCTGACTGACACATACAGACAAATTAGCATTGAACTTCGAGACGAAATAATAATAATAATAATAATAATAATAATAATAATAATAATGAATTCTTCCTTCAGCAGTTTACAAGATGTCCTCTGCTGACTGAAGGTCATATGAAGGTGTTTACTGGATGGGGTTTCAGCATCAGTATTACCCCCGCTCATAGGACCATAATAAGGCTTTTTAAGGACAGGTAAGAAGCCCCAGTAGTCATGATTTACACTAATAATGAATGAAGACCATGCAGTTTTATGTTTCTCCCATATCATACATGTTTAGAGTAATACCGTTTCTCTCAGATTTGAAGTCAAACATCTAACCTGGGGAGCAGCAATACAAATATAATATTGATGGCCGATTGTTGTTTACTTATCACATCTTAGGAAAAGCCAGAATGTGAATGTCAGTTGATGTTTGACCTCAGTATAACTGATCCAAAATTTCCTAGAGGTTAACCTGAAGCTTTCCTCTGCTCACGAGTCTTTTTTTTTATAAGTCAAATGCTGAGTATGGGAAAGAAATATCACGTGGAGCCAATAACTACATGGACCTTCGCCAAGTGGAAATGTTTGCTTCCCTTGATTCTCCAGCATCCTCACCAATGCTTAGTGCTCCCGTGTCCTCCTCCCCCCATTCAAACTTGCTCTTTCTGAAGCTTGGGAATAATGTCGCTGTCACTGTTTTGGGGGCTGGGGGAGCGCTTTAACCCGGTCACAACGTGGGGAAGTTGCTCACGGTTTTTCAGCGTTGCCATGGGGTTTTGTAAAACCTATTGACTGCGATAGGGTCCCTTCTTTTCTTTGGGTCTGTCTTTGTGGAGGAGGTAAAACCCTATTACTTTTTCTTACAGAGGCGGGAGGAGCAATAGTACCGTCAAAGAGAGGAGGGAGGGAGGGAGGGAGGCAAGGCTACCCAGGTCCAGACCAACTGGAAGGCGAAGCGGCGTTACGTGAGCGGTTAAAGCTCCCCGTACCGTCTCCCTGAGGTGTACAAATCCAACTTTCTGTACGGCTGCCACGACATGAGTTACATCTAAAGGTGAGTTTCATGAATTGATGCGGTTTTCTTGACGCTTTTACGTTGTCCCGCTGTCTGTCTGTGAAATGCTGCTAGTTGTTGCACTTGTTTCATATTTGAGCGAGCTTGGAGGAGCAGGGCTGGTGACGGGGATTGAAGCCGGCACCTGCACGGACTGATGCTCTGCATGCATGGCAGGTGGTTAGACCTGAAATTTGTCACGACTGCTGTTTTGATTTTTTCTTATCTATTGAGTGGACTATATATTTCAGTTAATGATAGATATACAACAGAGGACTAACCGGTTTAATCTGATTTGATCACACTGAGAAAGATATTGTCACTCGAATTTAGAGACTACATACAGAGGTGGAACTCGTAGGAAAAAAAAAATCTCCCTAGGATATAATTTATTATTTTCTCTTGTTTTTATGAGTCCCCCCTCTGCCAGATAATCTCTGTCTGGAGATCACACTCTTATCTCTACACTGCCCATCACACAGTAATGATCTCACGCTGAATACTGAATCTGCAGGAGTGAATCATGACTTGTCATCCAATGCAGTGAATGGCAGCATCTTTCTGTTATGGCAATACAATTTTCACCTGGCCTGTGTTGTGACAGGCATACAAACAGGGAAAAGGGCCTCAGATGGCAGGTCTGAATATAGTCTGTGGTTGTTTAACTAGAGCAATGTGATGTGGGCTGATAATTGCATTTTAAAATTCATATGCTGCATGTTTCTTATCTTTGGGTTGTCAGAATCAGCCCTGAAGGTCTACATAAGGTGTTTGGATAAAACGGAGAAATTGTGTTTCTGCCAAAGATTTTCAAACTAATGCTGTCGGCTCATCTTCACAAAGAACTTTTAATACAGTACTCCTGTTGCACAAGTGCTACACAGTCACGGCATTAAGTTAGAATGACTTTTATTATCAATGACATGAAATTGAAATGACGTTAAAGCAGGAAATGTGCGCTGTCATTGTTTCCTACATTTCCGGTGATTAGTGGGAGTGTGGGTGGAATAATTACGCATTTCGGCAGAGTGAAGTTTTGCACTTACAGCTATTTGTCATGTTAACATGGATTTCGTTGCAGTATGAATGGTTGAAACCTATGCAAAGGTTTCACACATTGTTGGTCACAAATTCAAATGCTGGTTTCCAGTGTTGTTTTTGTTGCAAATTTTGCATCTGAAGACACAAAAACTGAAAAGCTGTTCATACTTTACCTGTAACTTGATATTCGTACCCCTTACATACCCCTCTTGTATTGTTTACAGCTAAATCTACCCAGTCTGTGCGGTCTGAAAGAAGTAGAGGTACATTTTCCAAAAATGAGGATTGCGTAAAACTCACTTCCGCTACCACTTTTAACAGCACTGTAGGTCGAGCGACCAATGCTGGGACTCTTGACTGTCTGCTGTTTAACATTGAATGCAAACCCCTTCTGGAGGTCAGATTAGTGTTCATGTCAATCTGCTCTTCAAGAAAAGACCATCCTATTCATATTGTCTCCAACTCGGCCTATCCGGTCAGACCATAAGCACAAACTGCATGTTCTCAAGTGTTTACAGCCAAGGTTTTCATGTACCTGGTAGGTTGCTTCAATTTAATTTCTAGGCCGAAGACAAGAGCTTTTAATGGCACTTGTCATCACACGTGGTCCCCTGCCTCTCTGTATTCAGGGCAGTGGTGCTTTGTGTCCAGAAGTAGGTCGAATGCTTCTCACCAAACAATTTGAGCCAGAGCCAGTAATTGGACAAGCAAAGTGTCGACCATCTCCCTGCCGGTGCATGTCAGCAGCCAGCCTTCTCACCACTTAATATGCAGCTCTGACCTGACGCATTTCATGGACCTTTTTCATCCTTTTAATCGTTGAGTTTACTAAATGCAGGAAACAGAACATCCTTTGTAGCTGCATACACACTCATTCGACATATGTTAGTAGCTGGTAACTCAGCCGCAAACAAATATCTTCTCACATGTCAACGAACATGAGTTTCTGTGACAGTAACTTTTTAGTCAGGACATCGAATAAGACCCAAAGAAGAATCAAAGTGTCTTTGGGTGGGCTTTATATACCTTTTTTTTACCCAAGAAGAAGGTAACTGTAAAGAATGAGATCATTTTGGAAGAGTAAGATCTTTTTGAAAATTAAGATATTTGCAGAATGAGTTATCTTTCAGGACTAAGCAGGTAGGGTTGCTCTTCAAAATGATAATAGGTTGAGTGGCATTTGTCACGCTCAAGTCAGTGGGCCCCATCCATATGGCTCATTATATGGTCTCTATATGGCTGACACATTTCAAAGTATGCCGTATGCTTTGGTCATTTAGTCATGGCATAATAATACAAAACTGATGAGCATATTACAAAGAGTTTAAGAAAAGACTTCTTGGACTGCTTTGATTCAAACAAGTGCAGATATACATTTTATCATCGGAAAACACCTATTTGAAAAATGATTACATTTTTAATTAATCAGAAAAAATCTTGACTGGTGACTGATTATTACAGCCTTTTGAGAGTGAGGCTCATTGCACTTAGTTTGTAATGATTATGTTCCTGAGACTTAATACTATTAATGTGAGTTCAAAGCTGCAATAACTATGAAGCCTCAAAATCCACCAAAGCAGTTGTTTTGACTGAACCTAGACCTTTAAATGCAGTGAGTAAGACTGAAAATGGTCGCAGTCATGTCCAAAACTACCACAACATATATCCTTTCTGCTTTTACCCCTTTTAAAAGTTGTGTTTAAGTGCTGGTTAAATTCTGCTGTAGATTAACTAAGATCCACATTATCACTCTGGGGCCAAGGGGAAAATAAGCATCCTCAATTGGACTGTAATATATGCTCTCCTTTATGAACACCTCAGTAAAAATGACTTGCTGTGTGAAAGCAAGAGGCCTTTTTTATTCAACATTGTGCTTATAAAGGAGAGGATATGAGCTAACCTCAGTGATATAGGGGCCTTAATTTTGTCTGAATCCCTTATCTGTATTCTACTCACCTTCAAAAGCATTGCCAAAGAGAAGGGCTGCATGATTAACTACCTTCAGAAATTGAAGAAACATGATGAGTTTGAATAATTTGATTTATTTCATGGGTTTATGTGACCACTTGTCACTTTTACTCTCAAAATCTTTGACTGTAAATCCTGTGTCATCTTTTAACATGGGGTATGATCTATTCTGCTGTTCACATGTATGAGGATCCAATATGGAGGCACAACTTGGATGAACTCAACATTAACTTACTCATTCAGTTTTGTTGCTCAGACATGAATTGCAAGTGTCATCCTGCTGTTTGTCCCACAGAATAAATGAGCCTATGAATATTCCTGTTACTTGTGGACAAGACAACATAGATCATTCTTTCATTGTGCTGCCTTTCAAACTGATTAATGATGTTTAACTCTTTCAAATGTCCAAAAAGACAATTGATTCATTGTCTGACCAGTTTTGCGTGGCCATGTTGCTGCGTGAGGTTTTCTCACAATCACAAGTTTGAGCAATGAGAAACAAGCATGTGCAAAACATCTGCCAAGAGAGCGCAATCAGGGTGAGTGTGTACGTTAATTAGAGAACATAAGGGTTTGAACATTTACGGGATCTGCAGTTTTATTCTGAACAGTGTTTATTTTATTCCAACTGGGATATTTGTCCAAGTCTAATCTGATTAAAAGTAGTCATGTAAACTAGGGCTGAGCGATAAACGGAAAATTTATCGATACTAAAATTTATGTCAATAACCAACGTCATTTTGCCCATATCGGTATACTTGGTGTCAAAAAAATAAATAAACAAAAGTTGGTTTTAGATGAGTGTAGGTAGGCTATGGTCTCATGTCCCTTTAAGATGCTGTCCTACGTCAGAGATGTGACTCCACCCCATCCAGTCCGTAACAAAGAGGGAAAGACAGGTGAAGAGATGGAGGACGGTTTTAAAAGTTGTAGCGGCTGAAGTAGACAAAGTTGATGTGGGAGCAGCTTGTGGAGTAGTTATTCATTTATCGTTATCAAGGTGAATTGCTCAATATATCGTGATATTGATCTGAGGCCATATCACCCAGCCCTAGCGTAAACCGACCTATTGTCAAATACACTGCCAGCAAAGAGGTCACAGTGAGCAGCAAGAAGCATGGGTTTCAAGAGAGTATATCCAGCTTCCAGTGTTGTTGGGGGTTGGTATTTGCATTACAGAAGGCTACCTGCTTAATTTAGGGAGCTTGATTTAAATATGTAAACAGCAACCAATAACTACTACTTTTTTGTACCTTAGGCGCATGTGTTGTTGCATCAGTTACTGCAAGGTACAGAATAATAATAATGCAGGAAGTGGAGGACACTAGGTAATACATCACATGAAGAAAAGGTACTCTGAGATCCACAGTCCAAAATATGTTCAAATGTTTTTTTTTAGTTTTGAGACCTCCTGCACACTGAAAGATTTATAGATCGGGATCGATTGTGGCTAAGTCCTTTGTTTCGGTTTTTATTTGGATGCAAGTAAAGCCAAGAGAGAGTGGAACTGAATCCTTGGACATATTCTCCACGTTTGATTCACAAGGTTGTGTTTTGTATTTGATAAATGTTTATTGAAAAGTTCTTTCTTAAAACAACTTTGTACGTGCTGATCTGAGCACACTCTGTTAAGGTAGCTCACCCCCAGTGTGTCAGTTTGTCAGAGTATCTGAAGTACTGGATGGCTAGACAAGAGAAAAAAACAACAATGAATGGGAGTGGAGTACTTAATATGAGTAACTGTACGGTCGAGTCAACTGGTTATCATTTATCAAGATGTTTTTTTTCCATTAGTGTTGCATAATAAGTGATCTTTAGAGTGAGGTGGGGTTGAGCTGTTTTATGGTGCAGACATGGTGTAAAGGTGTGCAGCCTAGTAAGCACCCAGGCCCTAACTGAGGTTCAGCTCAGGCAGCAGAGTGCTACAAGCAATCAGAGTAAAAACTCATGCTCCTTGTGCTGCAGGCAGAGTGGATCGAGCTGCAGCTCTGCCTCACCTAAACCCTCCTCTTTCATGTTTCAGACAGATGACAGACGGAAAGTCATACTCTAGCCAGTATTTTCTGAAAACATGTGCGGTTACATGAAATATTCATCTCCTTGCCTGCTCCCAGACATTGCGCATATTTTTTCACCAGATAGTTTATGATATCTGTGACCAGTTCAGCGGCAGATGGAGATTTAAAGGAAATGAGTCCTCCGGGATAAAATAAATAATAAATAATGTAAAGATAGGAAATACTGATGATCAGAAGATTTAAGGTTAAGGCCTTTTTGAACAGGCTACTGCCTCATATTGGCCACTAGGTAGACATGATCAATTGCTTCTTGTGGACAATTAATCACTCAAGTTGAGACTGGAGGATAAACTGTCAGGTCAGTGTTATCTCATATCTCTGCTGCTCCTTTCTCCAGGAGGAGGTCAGGAGAGGTCAGTTACCAGCACTGTCCATGTGCACAAATCCCTGCCTGAGGTTATTGCATTTTGGCTTAATATTGTCACTGTACTGATGCACAAAGGCTGTCACCCCAAGGCTGAAACTCTTCACTCAGACACGTTGTAATACGCTGTCAACTACAGGTCTTGAAATCTCTTTATATATATCGCTATATTTTTTTTTTCTAGGCTTTTTTTATGTCTCAAGTGTAAAAATTGTGATCTAGGAAAATAAGGCTTGTGCAACGTCAAGACTCTTCTTCCCTTAAGTCCGTTTATAAATGTAGTTTTCAGCAATTTTTTTGTTTTTTTTCAGTGTTGGGTGCAGGAAAAAAACTCACAGATGTATACTGTTGTCCTGCCTCATACAGTTAAAGATTTGTTTTTTGTTTTTATGTTAAACTGATAAATTTATAATCTTATCAAATATAAAAACAACCAATAAAAAGGATATAAGAAGACAGCTACTTGAAATTAAATCTAGCACAACCTTGCTTTTCTGTCAGCTTCAAGCTCACTTTCTAATTTTTTTGCCCTGATTCTTGCCTTCCCTCTAACATTTTTACCATCATTTTTTAATCACACGGTTGATATCCTCAAGATCCACTATTTATCTAAGAAAAAACTTTGAAGAAGAGCAAAACAGCTGTATGATTCTCCTCCAAGGAGCAACAAAACTGACAGTTATACCTCAAAGAGAAAGAAGTTTTTGCTCATAAGTCTTTGGGATTCAGGACTGATTTCCATTTCAATCACAATCTCAATTTGGGATAACTCATGCATTCAGAGCTAAAGCGAACAAAAACCATAAAAATAAAAGTGACAAATGTAGAGAAAGGACCGGAGGAGTGCGGTATCTTTGGCTTTGTGTTGCGTGAAGGGTATTGTGTGTGGCTGCTTGGATAACACTGCGAGGGGACCCTTGGGACATGGAGGTGAAGGGCACAGAGATGAGGGAGGACGCATGTGACAGGCAGGGGACAAGAAGGACAAATAAGGACAAGAGAGGACCTCTCACACTGGTACTGTTGAAAAATGTGAATCTCTGTATCTTTCACTCGTTTTGGGTGCTAGCTTGTTGTTGGTACATTGCTGACCATTCACAGATTTTAAAGAATATAATCCTAGGTTTGAATTTGGTCAATGTTTACTCAAGGATTACCAGGATCTCTCCATTTCAGTGCTCTGATTGTGCCACCCAGTGTGAAACACCAAGGAAAGGGGAAGTGTTTCAGGGGAGTGTAATCTATGGCAGCGCTCACATCAGAATTGACAAACCTCAACAGTTACTGCCTGAAGGGCCAAATCCCCAGCAGCTCTCCTGACTGAAAACTAATTGCCAGCTCGGATGATAATTTTAAATTTTGTTGCAGATGCTGCATGTCTGCAGGGTAATTGTGGACGGTTGTTAAAATTCCCTTGGCCTTGTCAGTAAACCAAATAAAGGTGAAGACCAGGTTTCTCATAACCAGTGGTTGTCAGAGCTGCTCTTTGTCATTAAAAAGGGTAATCAGTTTTGGCAGAATGGGCTCCATGAATATAATAACCACAGGAAGTTTGACCTGATCGTACTGCAGTGATGTGTTAAGTGAGGACCATCGTGTCACTTTGATTCAGCTCCATTGAGTGTCCCATAGGGGTGAGAGAAGAAATCAAACAGCATAGTATCACAATATGTTGTCTGGTGATATTGTATCATCTTATTTACCAAGTATCGATTTTTCAAATTAATTGCTAATATATATTTGCAAGGTTTACATGAAAATAAACTAGCGCATAAATTAGACAAACATAAAGGAAAGCCAAATGCTAAATTTGCTAAATTGTTGAAAAATTATATAAATCACAATATATTGCATCTGATACTGACTGTATTGCAAAATGTTAAAAATTGCAATAATATTGTATCGTGGCCCAAGTATCGTGATAATATCGTATCATGGGGCTACTGGTGATTCCCACCCCTAGTGTCCCAGCACAGTCTTAGTGGGACAAGCTTTGTCTTCTGTTTTGTTTCTGTGCGCCACGTTTTCTGTTTATAATCTTGTGTATGTAACAGGTTTACGTTTTCAGAATGATTTTCATGGATTAAAGAGAAAAGTATTCATTGAAATTTAATTTATTTCATTTCAAAGTAGATCAGCAGAAATATCTCTTGATCTTTTTAATCACTCACAGTATTTTGTAATTTAGAAACCTTAAAAAAAGATCACTTGCAGATTTTAGTCATATCAAACTCTAAATTCTGCTTTGATGTGAAAAACAAACAAACAAAAAAACGAAACTGGAGACTGGAGTCAAAGATAAAATCATGTAAACATCTGTTTTGGATAATTTGGGGAAATGTGTCCCATTTGAGCTGTATGAGTCTGTCTCTCAGGTGAGAACTATGTGTCAGACAAGGTCTACAGCGAGGGCAGCAGTGCTCCATAACCACAAGCCTCCCCTGGGAACTCATTAAACCGTGTTGGACTTCAACAGGTTCCAGTAACTGAACTTTTGGTGGACCCAGGCCTGTGCAGCTCCATGTATATTGATTTGGCATAAATATGCTAACCCAGTGTAAGAGCCTGTTGACTGGCCCAGTGAGGCCCTGGGTCAAGCACATCAACACACTTTCTGTTGTTCTTTCACTGATCTGTCCTAAACTGTGGCTGTGATTTTTGCTGTAGAGTGTGAGAACAACTATGGCCTTCTCATTTCACCCAAAAGGAAACGGCAGATTTCATGCATTAATAGACTTGGTTCTGCAGCCTTGGTTTTCTGTTGGCTATGAGGAGGACACTTTGGTATTTTACTTCACTATCGTATCAGTGGTTTTAGAAGTGTACTATATGTTCATATTTTGCACTTCTATCAGTAGTTTACCACCTTTAAATGCTGTAATAGCAAAAGCTTTTCTTTTACCTATTAGGGTCAACTACAGTGTGCCAAAACTCAGCATGTCCATATCAAGTACTCCCATCAGAGTGAGCAAATGTTGAGGGACAGGAGCTTGCCAGGCTGTTAAAAATCCAAATTAATTCATCAGCCTGGGGGGACTCGACTCCTTTTACAAGTGGGGGCTGCAAACCACCAACCATGAACTACACAACCTCTTGACCTCGTTATTTTTATAGCTCTACATTTTTTGAGGAAAAACAAGTTTCCTCCTACAAGAGAGTAAAGCCCCTTTTTCTGAGGTTTCCAGTTGAGCTCTAATAATGTGGCGGGTGGGTGGTACTAGCAGCAAATGAGAGTTATCTTTCTTATCTGAGATAACTTTTTGTCACGTTGGAATACAAAACAAAAAGGGGGGACCCAGTCAACTCAGACTATTCACAACATTGGACAGGTACTGTACATGTCTGAGACAAGGAATAAATAAACAAATAAGCAGTAATCTGACAGAGATGTTGCACTTTGCACCTGTGTAGCCACTTCGGTAATGACCAGATGATCAGTCACAGACGCAAATCTCTTTAAAGGAGTGAAATGTTGTTTACACTTATAAGTTGCTTAGGGATATATGACAAGCAACCAAATAATACATTTCCCTTTATAAGAAGCAGCAATTTGTTTAGGGAAAGCAGATTCTGATTTCAAATGATAAAAATGTTTGAAGAAACCTCTTTTGTTTTCTTGCTTAAATCAAAGTAGAATCCTCTAATCCAAGGTTATACTTTTACATTTTTTAGACTTAAAATGTTGTTTTGAGCTCTAAAAACCAACCCACCAACAAACAAAATAAAAAAGCTCATGAAAAGATGAAAACCACAAGAGTAGAAAGACTTTTTTTTCCTGGCTGCAGACCCCTGAAGTCTTCAAACCTGTGTAAAACTTGGTTTTGGTTCATTACATTTGTAAGAGATAAGGTTCTGGCTAGGTCACGACAGGCTTTGTTGGTGTTCTGAGCCAGAATCTTAAGCAGAGTTTCGTCAGTCTATGAACAAAGCCTGCAACATTTCAGCGAGTGCTTTAGCCAGCTGGCAAATGTTTGAAGGCTTGAAGCGAAGGCTTTGAGAAACAAAAACAGATCAATAGAGGTGATCCCAGTGAGATCCTACTTTGATATCCTGGGTTTTAGGCTGGAAGTGCTCCAGTCAGTCCTGATGTGACACATATAACACAGGCTTTTTCTGTGTCTGCTGGATGGATGCGAACTCAACTGCAGCTTTCTGCAGACCTGTATGCTTTCCTTGGGTGTGCTATAAGCCAGAGGCAATGTGTCATCTTCCTGGCAAGGCGGACTGTGTGGTCTTTAATTTAAACTGCACAACTTCTAGATATGGTGTACAGCATATTGTCTGCATGTTGTCTTAAAAACTGACATTTGCATTTATATTGACTTCATGCCGGAGTGAACTATATTCTTGAGAGAGTGACGGAGTTTTGTGGACGGCTTTATAAGTCTTGTGCATCTGCAGCGAGAATGATAAGAGAAGAAACATTATTATTCAGTGAAATAGTTGTTGAACTTGGTCTCAGAGTGTGCTGTAGCCACACACCAGCTAAGGACCACTTGTGACTCATTCCCTCAAAACTGGGGATTTAATGTTAGGCGGTCATGCGTGATGGCTTTCTCATGAATTATTTGAGGAAGAGAAAAAGTAAGTTCATATAAAAGAGGGAGAATTAGACTGAAAGAAGAAGTAGAATGGTAGTCTACTTTAAAATAACCAGTCACACAGTTTGGGGTAGGGCTGGGTGATATGGCCTTAAACCAATATCAAGATATATTTAGCATTTCATCTTGATAAAGATAAAAGGATAATAACTACTCCACAAGCTGCTCACTTCAGCCGCCGCTCCAGCTGCTACAACTTTTGATCCGTCCTCCATCTCCTCACCTGTCTTTCTCTTTGTGACGGACTGGATCGGGTCAAGTCACGTCTCTGTTGTAGGACAGCATTTTAAAGGGATATGGGACCATACCCTACCTACACACATCCGAAACTAACTTTTATTTATTATTTTTTGACACAGATTACACTGATATGGGCAAAAAGATGTAGGTTATTGTCGTAAATTTCAGTATCGGTAAATTTTCAGTTTATTGCCCAGCCCTGGTTTGGGGCTTTCATAACATTTACAGACTAATGTGCTGAATAGTTCCTGTACACGTCTCTACTTGTCCTTCTGTGCTAAGATGGGAAATATCATGGAGGTGTCAATGTCACCTCCGTGTTGATGGCCAACCTACAAAATTTGGAACAACAGAGCAATCTCTGCGGGGGTCCGGATAATTTATGGACCAAGATGCTCACAGGGTGACAGTTTGACACGTGGTTGTTTGCCAAGATCACCTCAAAAACCCATATAATTGACACCATTCGCCTCGAGGTCTGTCAGTTTTCTGACAGCTGATGGAACCACACGGGCTTTCACCCTACTTCAGTCAACAAATTGAAACCTACTGTTTTAAACCATTTTACACCTCACTAATCCCTTTCAAACAGTGTCCTGCCCCAGCTGAGCCACAGTTCGTGACCTGCGTTATGAATTTGTGATCATTCTTTTCAGGTTGCAAAGTGGGCGCAGCAGACAATATGCCCACGGGAAAGTCTGTCTCCAATCTGATTCCCCTTGGGCGTGTGTCTGTTTCCTTGTTAAACCGGTGCTGTATAGGCCCCTTGGCTCTGCTATGTGGTGTAACTCACCTGCTGTTAAGACATTTGGATCAAATCCCTCTACTGGGAGCGCTCTCCAGTTGCTGTTTGTAACCAGACCAGTGTTACAGATGGCTTTCTCCTGTGGTTCACCGGTGGAGGAGGTGCAGGACTTTGAAGGTTACAGGCAGGTCTTCTTCTGTTGTTCCGTGTCGAATGTCATTACCAACACTCAGAGGCCTCTTTAATACTTCAGCCTCTCCTTTTCTTTACCACCTGCAGTGAAGTGGGATTTCAGTCGGGGTCGAAAGTGTGCCGAAGCAGAGCATTGTGCTTTTTTTTTAAGAGGGACAGCCCTCAAGCAGACATTCCCCTTTTCATAAAAGAGCAGATTGTAATCCTTCAGTGGTGGCAGACATATTTTGCTGGTGCTAAAAGAACATTTATGGAGATTCTGCTATGCTGAACACTTTTTTTTTCCATGTAGACAGGCTTTATTATTCTACCATGCTGTCAAATACCTTAAATCATGGAGTAAAAAACATAATTTTAAGGAGCTTTAGTCAATCAAAAAAGCTTGGTTCTTCAAAGTTTCTCACTGACTTTCTCAGGATGTCTTTGTTAGTGATGGGAGTTACGGCTCTTTTTAGTTAGCCAGATCATTAAGCTCAGCTCACCAAGAGGAGCCGGCTCTTTTGGCTCCCAAACAGCTCTTCATTTTACCACTTAAACATTTTCTAATTCAGCCAAATTTAGCATTGTTTGGCTTACAATATGTACGTATGTGTACACATACCTCTTAAATAATGTAGAACATCCTTTGAACTGAAGTATTCACAAGTCAAAATTACAATTTCTAATATCAGTACAATGCTGTAGCCAATTGTTTTATTGCATTTACAGACCCTTGTAAGTCTCTGAAACCACCCAATGAATGCTCTGACTTGCTTGTAGAACCACTCTGCTTCACAAAGCAGATAGAAATCCTGTCACTGCCTTGTTGTTTTTTTTCGATGGTCTGTAGGGGAAAAAAAAGGGAGAAAAAAAAGAAAAAAGTCGTTCAACATTCACATTAAAGAGCAAGCACTTTGAACCGGTTTGTTCGCAACAGACGAATCACTAGTCTTTATGATAAGACACTAACAGTGTATCCTAGGTGGTACTGGACACTTGTGATTGTAAAAAAAAATGGTGAAAATATTTGACAACAGAGACTATGGGGTGATTCAGATTGTATGTAGCTGGAGGAGTAAACTGTTGTTTGGAGTGTGTGCATTGCTAGTAGAGTCACGTCGGTCTGTCTGCCCTGTGGATTGTGAAATGGGGGCCAATACTGATCAAACAGCCATGAGCACAGCTCTAGGTGGGGGATTCCATTATGATGCTCTGACTGAAAAGACCCCACACACTAACACCAGAGGGAACCAGACGGGGTTGGTTGTGCTTGAGAAGTGGTTAAAATTGAATCAAAATGGTGCTTCACCACCACCACCACTACCACCATCAACACCAAAACATGGCAGCTGATACCATCTTCACTCCTCTGTCAGTGTCAGCGCACCATTGACTAGTGTCTAATCTTTGCTTGCTTAAAGATTGAGTGTTAAAACCCTGAGGAGCTCAACACTGGTATAAAGCATCCCCATGTAAAAGAAACAATTACGTTTAGTGTCTTGTGAATGTAGGCTACTGTCTACTATAAAGCATTGTGGAAATTGCCTCCTTCTCTGACAATACATCCAGGAGCCCTCTAGCCCAGAATGCACAGCACAGCAAGTCCACAGCCATCATCATTAGGGCTATACGTCTGTGGACACTAATGGCAGTCCCTGCTCTGCTGCCTCAGCACGTTCGCAGGGCTCGTTTGAGACTGGAGAGTATGAACACATGAATTAATTCAAGAGAGATAAATTCATGGTCTTGTCCCTGCAGGATGAGAACCCCTATAACACCTCTGTACCATGAGGATAGCATTAGTATCGACATCCTCCTTCAACAGCCCCTGGAATCATTAAAGGCAGCTAAATGGAGAGTTTGTTCTGGTTTGTCGTATTTAAATGCTGGAAAGATGGTGTTGTTTTCTCTTTTCATTGTGAAGAAGTGGGAGTGGGGCGGGAGGTGGAGACAAATAGTGGTGGCAGTGTATAACTGGGGGATGGGCTTGGTTAGATTGATGTGCTTGTGGTGTGCTAACCCGTTACTTCTAATTCCATTTTAAGATCACAGAAAAGCCTAATAGGGGTCCTGAAACTGAAAACATTTTAACGCCCAAAGAGGTGGAGTATACGTGTCTGTATATGCGTATGAGATTTATCACTATTATTTCTGAAGAAAGTGTTAAATCTCATATCTGAAAATCAATACAGGGCCATGGCAAGGCTCATTCATCAAGTTTGTTCATTTCTTGGGCAATGGTAAATTATTTTGTAATTTACATGCGTAGGTAGGAGAAGATTTCCCCCCTCCTCTTTTTTTTTTATTGTCATGGCAACAAAGATTTTCACCTCCCCCAAAGAACTTTGGATTGAATAGCCTGCTAGCTTTTTCCTACATGGTATTAGTAGCAATACCCTCCTCTCTGAATTTATACTTACAAATCAATAAGCTTTGGAGATAACAGGAGCCTGTGATCAAATTTACTGTAAATCAGAGATGACACTAAAACTTAGTGGTCCCCTTTCCCTCGTTCCACTGAAACAGACTGATTAACTTATGTCATGGCAGGACGCTGTGTGTGTCTTCTGTTATGGTTTTGAATTATTATTGGATGCAGAAAGGCTTTGACTCCCCTTTGGCTGATCAGGATGTTTGGGGATTTTAACACCCACAACACGCAGTTTACAGTTAAATTGATCAGTCCAATGTGATTCTGGGAGATAAGGGTCAGTGATGATGATTGGCCCAATTGCTGAGCTCTGTCTCACCTGATCAATACTCATTGCAGGGGATCAATCCTCCATATAGAGCAGAGGGGTTGTTTTAGCCAGTCAGAGCTCAAGGGAGAGACCATGTTTGTAGCAGACAGTGCTGCTGGTAGATGATAAACAGGAGCTACATTAAGTTGACCTCTACTGGCTATGTGGAGTTGGTTAGCCGGCAGCAGACTGTTGAGTTTGTTCAGTTTTGCTATAAATTGTTTATCATAATTACACCTGTCATTAATAGGGATGAAGATCAAAACCTGGTTCTGCTACAGACCTGGTTCTGCCTTTTTCAAAACCCTGTTGAAAACTATTCGAGCTCATCAATACTGCCTCGTCGGTCCTGAGGCATTGTGTCTCTATCTAAAGGCGAGTCATGAAATCTCTGGAGCAGAAATATGCATTGACTCGTGCCTATAAGCTTTGGATAAATAGTTTATGTTGCAAAATTAAATGTGTCCTCCATTTTAAAATGTAAATGCTTTTTTGATACCGACCGTTGCTGCAGTATATTTAACTGTCTCCTCCTCCTGTCAAAGCAGCTGCAGTAGAGCTTAGTAGAATCTCCATCTTCAAGTTAGGTTAAGGTTAAAAGAGAATTAGCTAAGTTTCAGTTCATCTAACAGGAGGTAGCATAACGCTGTGAGAGGTGGGACATGCTATTTCCAACTTACCTATCTAACAGAGTTAAGTAGTGTGTAAAAACTTTCAGATTTGCAAGTATTTCTCTTGGAATAGGATGAAGTTATAATTAAATCCGTAAAATCAAGTCTTTGTCAAGTTTAAATGCCAGCGACCTAGATGAATAAAAATATTCTACCTTTGACAGCATATCTGTCCAAAAACAGAGATGTTACCAGATCGACAGCCAACAGCATTTTGAAAAGTACTGTCATGTGTAAACAAATAATTGAGTCATCATTTAATATGTTGTAGATTTACGGAGCCCCTGAGGGACATGGATAAAAAAAAAAGAATTTTCTTGAGATTTTTTGTGAGGGCACGCAAAACTGTGTGCCCTCACAAGACAATTGCAAGATCTCGCAAACGTCTCAGGAGTCGTTGGTCAGTATATTTCTCCTGTTTCAATTCAACAAAAATAATGGAACGTACGCAGCCGTGGGTAAGGCTCATTGAATTTTATTTTGAACTCATTTTCTGCCCACCTTTTCCCTTTGCATGAACATACTGTCTTCGGGGCATCCCTTGAGGGTAGCAATTTTTTGAAGTCGTCCTCAATGATTTGTGTTTTATAAGAAAATAGTGCCTGCGTCGCAGAACTGACTTAATATCTTTTTTTTATCTGAGGCCAATCTCAAAAAAGATGCAATGAACCTTTGTGTGAGTTCCATCGTTTGGGTTGACTCGACACAGAAGAAATACACTAATCTATAATCTTTGTAATTATAACCCTTTCACAACTTAGTGAGATCTCGCAATAGTTTTGCGAGAGTACACAATAGATCCTTTTTTTATTTTTTTCCCCTTCATGTCCCGTTTGGGGCTCTGTATACATTAACTCAGATTCTACATTATAAAGTTAGAAGTCTTTTCAGTGGTAAAGGTACTCATCAGTCTGTGTCGGTGGCTGAAAAAGGTTACTAGGAGGTTTTTCACCAGCCAACAATGAAATAATCTTTTACTAAATTTAAGTGACAGATCATGTCAGGAATTAAGGAATTATCAGTCATCAACTAGGTTTCTTAACATGTCCTCATTTGCCATTTCATTGCATTTCCCTATTCCTGTCCAATCTAGACTTCAGCTGCTTTTTTAAGAAGTATTAGTTGGATTTCTAAATTCTAATATTCCTATTTTATATTACAGCATGTTTTAATTTATAGTCTTGAATTAGTTGTTACAATCCAGAAATAGGGTCTATAACTGACTTGAATATTTATTTAAATCATGTTTAACTTTGACCAATATTTCAATGGTTAAAACTAAAATAGTAAAAATATATGTATCGTTGAGTGGCCATATCTAGTTTACTCTTTTGAAATTTGCACAGCAGACAAGCGGCGATCAGGAATCAGACTGGCGAGTCAAATGCTTGTCATTAGGATGTGTTGTACCAGTCATTGTTGATGGTGTTGTAGGGCTGAAGAGCATGAATTATGGATGAAGTAGTTTAAATGTGACACATAAACTGTAAAAAGCTTTGAGATGAAAGCTGGGATGTCAGACAGTGAAGCATTTTGCTTCGGACTGACCGCAGATCCTGCTGTGACCACAGCATGAGGTAAAATCTGAGATCAATCAGGGCTTTCCTTAATGGAGCCGCCGGTGGAGAGGATTAATACCATGTCCATCACCAGCTTCCTAAAAAGCAACAAGGTGGAATCCATCATTAAAATTCCTGTTGTTATGGCTCCTGACGTTTTGTATGTCATTAAACTCAGAAGTGCTCAGCGAAGTGGAAATGAAAAATATCTGGGCTGGTGGATGCTTGCATGCATATTTCTTTTACATATGTGGTCTGAATGTTCTTCTTTGCCACAGCACAAAAAAGTCGAACATGTTTCTTTTGTCAAAACACGTTGAACATGTGTTATTTCTATATTTGAGACTTTGCAACAACATATCAGCGTTTTTTTAAATCTTTGATTGGAACAAATTGTGATAAAAGTGGAGAACTGTGCAGTGCAAAAAGATAACTGAATGTTCTCTATGAAAATTTGATTGCTAAATGTTCTTTCTATGCTGTCCCAACTTCAATATCCAAAACAGAGCAATCCCTCCCTCCCTTTAATAGAGTCTTTGAGGGAGGCACAGGAAGAGGAACAAATGCTCCTATTCAGAGGGGTCCAAAATGCTAATGCCTCCGGCTCTTAACACGTTTTTAAGGGTTCCCATGTCACGACATGGCAGAGTCCTTCCTAATGGTGGCTATAGCAGGAGACTGCATGGAAAAAGCCAGACACATTACAGAACATGACAAATATGACAACAAGTCTTCTGGTATCCAGGGGAACGGGGCCTCTGGATTTCCTTACTTGCCTTCTGGTGGATGTACACAAGCTTGTTATGTCCCGCAGAGCATTGAGGTTTCTTTTTTCCAGATGACCAGAGTCACTGAAACCTTTGTTTGAAGCTAAAGATGGCCTGTGACATTTAAACTATCTTTAGTCCCTGGCATTGCCTAGTTTTGTTTCTAAATCAGCCCCCACATTAGTGCAGTCATAGACCACTTGGGCTTGTGAGAAATGAAGCAAAGTACAGCACAGATGCTAGCATGTGTCAGCTGGTAATATTCAAAGTTAAGTGTGTCCTTGTTGTGTGTGATGGCAACTCTTGGAACAGTATTTGAGAAACACTGCTTTAATAAAGAAGGGACAGGCAGGGCTGAGTGACTGCTTGGTGAAGTGATTTTTGTTCATTTGTACTGGTACTGAAAGGGGGTTGTCTTTGGCCCTCAGGCCCTTTACTATTGACGATATGTCAACTCCAAAAGTTTTTCTTGAGTGACATCTGCGGTTGACCAATGGGACTCATTTATTGACCATTAGAATTGACTGAATCCAGACCATCACCGTTTTCTCTTTTTGAGAAATGTTCTTTCATATTTCAAAGTATAAGAAGAACTTTATTAATCCCCGAAGGGAAATTCAATATTCAAAAAGTATTTAGCTATTGCACACTAAGTAGTGCAATTGATGTTTTGATTGGGTACATGATAAACATTTTGTTAATGGACTTTTAAATGCTAGGGAATAGTATAATAATCCCTGAATCATGTTTCGTTTGTAGACTAATAGTGCATATAGAGTTTTCCTGTGCCGCTGTTGGAACTCCAAGGAAATGGTGCTCTGAGTAAAATGTTCATAAAAACAAGTCTGATGGATGGTAAAGTATTTTAGCCCTGTATTTGGCTTAAAACAATGCAAAGACAATTCATTAAATGCTCAAACAGAAAAATGTCCCTAAAACAAAAATGTCAGTGATCGACACGTCAGGGCTCCCCACTCAGCTCCTGCTGGAGGAGAGTAGGTGAGTTGTTTTTAGTCTCTTTGCCAAAGAAACCAGGCAAAGCTAAAAAGATGTTTGATGGCTAGTACTATGGCTAGGACCATATATGTACTGTTGATGAAGTTAGGTGCTGTTCTGAGCATTATTTGTGGCTAGGGTTAGCTTTTTGGTTGAGGTTTGCGCATGGAGATGTAGACCGCTGTGTATTGCTATAGTGCGGTCGTTGCTGAAGTTGGTATAACTAGAGAAACAAGTAGTCGGTAAAATGAATCTCTCAAGGGGGTTTCTAACTCTGTGTTACGGTGTGTTTGATCATAACTTAAATTTACACTGGAATATTCCTTGGTTCCTGTTATTACTAACCTGTTGCAAATGAACACAATAAGGTAAGAGATGGTGTTTTTACCCACTGCACAACATTTCAGCATTTTATTGCCCCTGGCCAGACTGTTTTGAAATATATTAGACAATCAATCAAATCGATCATTTTTGAAATCTAAATCCATTCTCACACACACACTGATAGATTTGTAAACCTTCAGTTTCTGTGAATATCAACACTTTATTTAGAGTCTCAACCCTTGCAGGACTGGGGGGTGAGAAACCTTGATGACGAAAACATCGGTCAGGTTATATAAATTTAATGCGCACCGTGATTTAAAAAAAACATTATACTGTTGCACAAATAAAATAATCCCTTCGCAGCACAATGCTCATTTTTCATTGATAATCAGCCTTTGTTTTCAAACACAGTACTGAGTGTTCGGTCCTTCACTTTCGTCCTATTTACCTTTGGATCTTTTTTCATGCAGCTCATATTTCTCTGTTTAATCATCAGTTAACCAGATTATTGAGCCACCACATGGAGCTAGTGCGGGGTCACAGTAATCTCACTGTCTGGGATGCAGTCCAAACTACAAAATAGATCTATATTGCACCATTGTTTGGATAACATGCATGGCTGCAGAACACCCTTCTTTTCCTAAGCTGAATATGTGGATACAGGTAGCCTGCAAACATGATGATTTTTATCTCCATTTCCTTCTCTCACTCTGTCTGGTTGTATGTTCGATTTCATGATAAAGTAAATTAGATCTGATCCCACCACAGATGCGACGCTGCTGCAGTTGTATCAGTATCTAACCTCCCCCACCTACCAGCTCTTGAGGAGTGAATTACCTCCCCTTAAGAGCCTTTACCCACCAACCCAAACATCTTACTGTAGTGAATAAGAGATGAGATTGAGACTGTGAGAACAGATTGTTTAATTTTCTCTTTGTCTGCCTTGCATAATGAGAAAAAAAGCCCCATTTGGTCAGATTTTAATGTAAAACATAAAGGTCAAACAAAATGAGTGTTTTAATAAATAGAAACTGCATACCAGTGTTTATTGATTGGCCCACAGAGGGATGATGTGATTGTCCCAGCCAAAGGTCACTGTCATGTGAGGTACATATTACATGAGTTTGAGTTTTGTTTTATGTTTTTTTCAAAAATAAAAAAAACTTTATCAATGATTAATTTGCTCCTGATCTCAAGTCTCTCCTTTTCAGATTCATTGTTTTTATTAATTTATTGAATTCATTTTTGTTAGTCTGCATTTACCTGAAATCACAGCTGAAAATTCCTGTAGTTTAAGAGAAGTATCACAGCTTTTGGTGTTTAGAGACAGTGTTTTTAAAGTGTATACTATTATACTGTAAGTGAAAAAAAAGAAAGTTCTCCTCTGTGTGACTTTCACTACCTCTAATAGTAGACCTCCACCCACTCATGGACAAAGCTGCATTCTGTCTCCAGGCAGAGCTTTTGATGTTAGCCTGACAAAAGCGTCAGCTCCCAAAGCTCCTTTCACTGAATTTCTGCCCCATGCGTCCTTTGAAGTTATGAAAAGATAACTTTCTGGGTGTGCCTTGGTTTTTAGTTTGAAGCAGACTTTTGTTTAAAATGTTGTGCCATACTTTCATGTGGCAGTAGCTCATAGAAACATTAAGAGCTCCAAGCTTTTGATTTGGTGAGAAAGCTGCTTCCCCCCCTGAGTAAGTTAAGTTTGTGTACAGGTACCAGCACAGTAACATTTCCTTTGTTCTGACTCTTTCAGCTCTTCAAATGACTGTTGTTTGAAATAAAGATGTAACCTGCAGGTTTTTGTATTTAATCACTGACCCTTCATGTCAGTAGTTGTAGCTTTCCTGTTTGGCCTGTGGTTACCAGGTGCTGCTTTAAGTGCATCCATAAATTTTTAAGGTCTCTGTTATTTATTGCGCCTTTTCAGCTGTTGGTATGGTTTTAAAGGCAGATGACATTTTTTCCACTTTCTTGACAAGCCCCAGCAGACACAGTTAACAGTTCATATTGGTTTTAACTTTTACAAGCTTTAAAGGTTCCATATTATACTCCTTTTCAGCAGGTTCACATGAGTCCCAGAGGTTCCAGAACAGCCAGTTTGAAGTTTGTTGTTCAAAAATCCTGTTTTTTCCCGGACTTCAGCCAGCCTGAAAACTCTCTTTAGCGCTGTTTCTGTGTGGCGCACCTGTCCACGCCTTCTTCAGCATGAGCCACACCCCTCCCTGTCTCTCTGGAAGAGGGGGGTGTGGCTTACGCTACGGTACCATACGCTAATGTTTACCCAGTGTGCTAGTGCTAGCTGTACCAGTTTGATCCAGAGTCTGACAAAGAAGGAGAGGCTCCTGAAGAAATTCCAACTCTGTGTCTGCAGCGGAACATTTCTGAATAGTTAGTTAACATATTATATGTCTCCAAATTTTTCTTTTTACTTTGTACATGTGTTGGCACACAGTGACTTACATGTAGCTAGGTAACATTAGCTCCTGCTAAAGGTTACATCTCTGCTGTCTTCTCGTTACTTGGAGCTCTTTTGGTGAATGCACAATATTGTTAGTACAGTTATCTCTTGTGACGATGTTCTTGCAGTCTATGGAAACAGACTTCTGTGCAACAACAGAGCAACTGCCATGCCTTGCTCGTTCGCCATTTCGAACAAGCGTTTGTGAGGGAGAAAAAAAGTGTCTGAGGGGAAATTTTCGGGGGCAGAACAAACATATTGGGCGGGGTCAACAACTTGGAGGGGAGGAGTTATCGCCGTCCATGATGTCATGGAAGGCGATAGTTTCAATCTGCCCATTTGAGCAGACATTTTCTGAAAGGTGGAACAAGCAAGAGAGGGAGAGGATAGAATTTTGCACAATATGGGACCTTTGAGGCAGGAGAGGCCTGAAGTGGTCCTGCAGCATGTTTGAGGCAATAAAGTAGAACTAATCACTGACATTTACAGTCAAATAAAGCCAGGAGGTGTAATTTATTTAAACATTAGTGCGACTACTAATGTAGTTTGGAATTGTGCTTGTGGATCACTCCTGAAACAACCTAATTGGCCATCAGGAGAGACTGTGAGAATAAGTATGATTCAAGCTTCCCACCGCCACACCCCTCTCACAGTGAGCAGTAAAGACAACACTGGAATAGATGGAAGTGTTACATTTGACATCCTCGAATGAAAAACTCAGTTTTAGGAAAAAAAGAAGAGAAAAAGTCATTTCTTTCTTTGTGTTGCCAGGGCGAAGTAACATCTGCCCACACACAGACCGAAGTAGATCTGCCATGTCTTTCTTTTTGTGTTCTTGGTGAATAGCCTACAGGTTGAAGCTTGAAAGTTGAGCAGCCATCCCATTGACAAGCATGTCTGTGTAAAAACACACACTGAGAATAGGCCTCGCCCCCAACCCTTGACCCAGACACACACAGCCACCCACGCATCTTTAATTTGTCTCAAATATTGGTTTGCTTCCCCATCTCTCTCTGTGCATCCACGTGAGACGGATCCCTCTGACATTTTCCATTGCAGGATTAACTGTGTAGGGCAACAGCCTCGATCCGCCTCAATGCTCCTAGAGGTCTGACCCCAAAATGTGTGTGAAAAGGTGGCCTGCAGGACACTCCTTAGAAGGCCATTAAGTCCTTACGGCTTATTGTGAGAAGACACAGGCAGAAAAAAGCCTGTTTTCTGGACAGAATTTAACATACAGGCTGGCAGGAGGAGAGCATGATGCCTTTACTTCCTCGAGTCACCAGTCCAAATAAATCATTTTCTTTGCCAGGTGGGCTATAGCTGATGAAAACTACCCTGTTATTTAGCTTCTGCCTTCAGGACTTCACAGTCACATTAACACTTGGCGCTCTCTCTGGAGAAAAAGGATATGATTCAGAGTTTAGTTTGCATTTGTGTTAGCAGGTCTGTGTATGTGCGAGTATGTTTGCCCACAGTGTGTTTCTGCCAATATGTTCATGTTGATCCCTCCAAACATTTGGAAGGCTGTGTGTCCAGGGTGTATCTCAAGGCAGAGCCAAGCCTGGTTACCATGCCTACATGTTTTACTAAGAGACACTGCATGTATCTGAGGGAATTCATATTCAAGCTCATGTTTGCTTTTGTACTCTGTCAGCTGTGTAAACACTCCTCATGAGTGAAGCACTGAGGAGTTTTCGATTGCTTTAAGTGACCTATGGGGAACAGGTTATTGATTCTGGGGGGAAACATGATTAAATTGAGTCTAAGTGGACACTTCATCAGGGAAAAAAAGGGGGGTTAGGGAGCCAGTCTGCTTCCAACCAGGTTCAGATGTTCTCTTTCTTATTAATTTTATTTTAGAGTGAAATATTAGAATATTCATACAGCATGATAGTGATCAATGATGGATATCTATAACCATATTTTAGGTGTAGTCGTTATTTGATATATATTTTGTGTACTGTATGAGTTTCAAACATTTATAATCACATACAACATACTGTCATGTAGGGACATTTATTCAAATTTGATGTTTATTTTCACCAGCATTGGTGCAGCCTTGTCTTTTGCTGACTGAGGGTGTTTTGCAGCCAAAGGCGGAACAGACGCTGTTGTGCACATCGTGTTTAGTAGGTGTGTTAATCAGGAGTAGAGATCCCTGATCACTGAGTGCACCATCTGTGAGGCTCTGATGACCCACAGTCTGGCTGAGATAGAGCGTTGGACCGGTACACTCTCTCTTCTTGGAAACACTTATTGTGCAGTAAGCTCTGTCTGCCTTCACACCCTCCTTTTTTTATATCAAGACAAACCTGTTACTCCTTAATTCTAATTTCTGCTCTGAGCTACACTTCTGTGACAATATCAACCACAGAGTTTGTGCAGCCCCCTTTGCTCTTACTCTGATGTTTGATCTTTTCTCTCTGTAGTTTGTAGCACGTATAAATCAGCTGTCAGCACAGATCTGGTAATAGTTTAAGAAGCTGTTGAAGTGCCACAGATAATGGAGAAACGCACATGTGTGGAATTCTGCCCGTCTTTTCATTTGCAGTCATAGAGCATAATCGGTACCAGTCACAACTCTGCTGATATCACACAGGGTCTGAGTGAGGCCAAGTCGAGTTTATAATGAAATCCCCAAACTGTGACTAGAAATAAGTGCATTCATATGGTCATAGCAATTCTGCAGAAACAGCTGCACAACGCATCAACTTTTCATCAATGGCTAAGTGATCAGTATGAAGATAGGGGTACCTGTTACCATGGCAACTCACAAGAGAAACACGCAGAGAACTGCAGTGGTTTCCATATTGATTCAGAAGTCAGAAAACAGAGCAAACGGTATCAGCCAAAAGCAGGCTTCTATCAGCAAGTGCCAGGTTCGAGGCTTATTGACCGTTTTTTTGACAGACTGAGGAACAGATGACTTTTTGGCTAAATGGGCCACATGCCCAAAGTTCAATTAAAAATCCCACACTGTGCAGAGCCAGCATATTTGCCAAAAAAGGAAGAAGTGTAAATCAGATTTTGTGTCCACTCAGAAATGTGTTTAGATCCAGGAGAATCACAATAACCATAATCGAGATTAAAAGAATAAGGTTCTGAATGCATGAGTAAAAAAGCAGAATCTCAGTGCAAACAGACTTGTATGTGTTATCTTTGCTGATGTTTAAACTGCCTCTAAATTTATAATTACTGCGGTGAGATGTGCCGGCTGTTTATTTGCAATGCTCTGCTATGACTTCAAGTCCCTCCCCAATCAATTTTATTTATTTTTTTACTACTAAAAGTGTTATGAGTGGTCTTTAAATTGTGATTATGGAGTTTTTAGCCAAAATTACATTAACTGTGTCATTTTCAAGGCCTTTTCTTCTGCAGAGCTCCAGTAGCTCATTAGCAATACACTTCTGAGTCGTGGGCGGAGACAGAGCTGCTCTGCACACTCCTCTTCTCGCTAGCTTGTAGCCTAACATTGCCAGTTTGGCAGAAGTATGTAACATAGGAGCTATTCAGCTCTCAGACACAAATGTCTTTGGGGACATGATGAAAGTTAATTTCATAGTTAGCTTTCTTACGAGCACTGCAATCGCACGCACTTGTTCTGTGATCTCTACTTTTCCGAGTGTGGCCTGCATAGCGGGGCTCCGGGGACGAAGCCTGGATTTGTGACATAGGAAATCTCACAGTATCTGAGCCTGCTATTGGGTCTGCCAGAGATTCACAGCAGTTTGAATACAGAAATACTCAGAAATGCAATTTAGCACTTTGATTTCTCATGATATGTCCTGTAACATCAGAAAAATGTCATATGAACATGTAGACAACAAGAAAAACATGATTTTCATTGGAGTGGGTGCTTAAAAATATGATACATTAGCCTCATGCTAACATCACAGTAAACATCATAGTGACATTCAGTGTGTGAGTCCCACCCAGGCCATGTCAGATAGTGGACTGAGGAAGGGGACAAATTACATACCAGCTTCTTGAGAATCAAAGTGACAGCAAGAATTAAGCAAGCTGACTTTATATGGGTTTATTGAGTTGCAAGATCTGCTTGTACTCTCCCTTAGCCTGCCTTTGTGACATTGACACAATCGGTTCAAAGTGTGGATAAATGTTTGCCTTTTACCTCTGAAAGTCATGTCCAAATCAGTGAATCAACTGGACTGGAAGTGTGAAAGAGTCAGAGCAGCAGGGAGAAAGGGGAAGAGGCTTTCCCCCGGGGCAGTGCCCAGGACAAAGTCAGGTTTGTCTGGCCTGAGTGCACGAACACTAAGCTTTTCGGAACTGGCAGCCTGCCCCGGTACCTACCCATCTCCCCGGGCTTCCAGAGCTCTCCAGCCCCGGAGCACTAAGCATTTGTGCAAAGTTCATAAGGCTTCCCTCTGTTTGTGTGGCCATAATGACAGCTCCATCCTGTTGTAGCTCAAAGAGTGCTTATTGGCTCTAAGGGCCTTGAGCTGGCTCTGCAGAGACGTTTGAGTGTTCTCAGTTTCTGACACTGCCTGACTGCTCCAATCATGAAAAGAATACACCCCTTCCCACCACCACACACACACACACACAACCAACAGCTGAGAAGTTCAGTCTTAAGTATATCCTTCATCAAAGATAACACATATTAAGAAAATTAATGTGTCATGAAATCTCCACCGCTGAGGTGATTTGTGGTGATTTATATACTGAATCACCAAAAAGCAGGCAATGTTCTTGATACAGTTTGAGTTGTTATACTACAACGGAGTATTAGGGCCACCTTAAGAAAAAAAAAAGAAAAGACTTTGAGATTAAAGTCATTAATTTACAAGAATAAAGTCATTACTAACGAGAGTAAAGTTGTAATAAAGTAATTACTTATGAGAATAAAGTCGGAATAAAATCATTACAAGAATAAAGTCCCAATAAAGTAGTAAAGTAGTAAAATCATTATGATACTTGCGATAATGTGGTGCTGATGTGCCAAAGCTTGTATCCATCATGGACAATCCCTCTCACCCACTGCACCAGACTGTGGGGGCCTTAAGCAGCTCCTTCAGCATCAGACTGAGACTCCCACCTTGCAAGACGGAGCGCTACCGCAGGTCATTCCTCCCTTCTGCAAAAAGACTTTACAACGAACTGTAATAAAACTGGACTCACACCACCACTTTTTTTCTGGCATGTAAATTGTGTATATTATATATAGTTTTATTTTTCTCCCTTTTTCCTTTTCCTAATTTTTTTTTCTTAATTATTACATTTATTTAAGTTCTTAATGTTACGATCCTTATTTTTATAACTGCATTTTTGCACTATTTTTGTCTGTGATGTTGCTGTGACAAAAAAATTTCCCCCATGGGGGATCAATAAAGGAATATTCTATTCTATTCTAAAAGATTAGGTATCTCCTTGTTTGAGATTGTTTGAGAAACCTATACTAAAGTACATTTTCACGAAATACTCCACGGGTCTCATTTAAACAACTGTCATCTTAAACAACAGGTTAGAATATAAGGACTTCATTACGACTTTATTTCAAGTAAATATAATATCTTTGTTCCATCAAGCCTTTTCATGACCAAATGCGGCTGTCTCGTATTAAAGATACACAGTCCCACCTGTCAGCATTTGGGAGGCCTGACTGATAATAACCTTATTTGTATCCACAAGTTCCCTCAAAGTAGCCATGCCTTTGGTTGGTCATTCACTGTGTTTACGATCACATCAGCATAATTCAAGCATGACCCTCCTCCCCCCTTTCATTTTCTGCCTTTCTCCCTTTTAAAACCCAAGCGTCAAACGAGGGTCCACATCATACATCATCCAGACTGAGGGCGCTTCCTCCCTTCCCCCTTATGTGTCGTGGGAGAGAGACTGCGGGGTCTTATTGTTGGGCTGATGGAAGCACACACTGGCAGTCTCTGAATTCTCTGTGCGCTGAGCTTTTTCCTGACATATCTCCCAGCCTCAACCCAGGTCCATCCTCGAAGTCATGAGTAAAGACTTTGGTGAGCAGCACAAAACAATGAAGTCCACACAGAAAAACGAGCACAGATTTATTTTTTTAGTAAATCTCTTCGGATGTTTGAAGGGAAAAGAGCATCCTTAGAAGCTCAAATACTGTTGAACTTACTCTGGGATATATACATGAACAGTGCTAACAGTTAGAGAGACTGCAGAGGAAACCTCCAGGATGAGCAAATATTAACAGTCTCCCACTCAGCATGTGGTCTGTCCTCCCGCCTAGTATATTGTTCACACTATGTTTTTTTAATTGATCACTTCAAATGAACACTCTTCATTGAGCCTTCAGCATTCCTCCACTCTCCTTTTGTACACAGCCAGCGAATAGCCCCTGGATTGGCCTTTGTTGGAATGATTGTCAGTGGCTTAATGAGCGTCTTTGCCAAGCTGGAGGATTTGGCAACATATGTGACTACAGTGCTGTGTTCCTCTCTGTCTTTAGCCAGTACCAAACCGTAGAACGTGCTCAGATCGGTCCTTTTTCTGCTGATATAAACACAGCGTATTTTCATTTTGTTTCTTGTGGATGTTATTACCTGGAATAGAGGAGTTACTCCTCCTGTGGGGACCCGGGCTGAGAATGAGGAAAATTCTTGTAAGTAGCCATAGCACCTGGGGATGTAAGTAAAGCTGCTGCTGCAGCAGATATGGGTCTCTTGGTGTCCTGATATGACAGGAGACATTGGGTTGATTTCATTTCTACAAAACACTGGCCCAGGATTCATATTTTAAAATGGGCTGCCAAACTAAAACCAGAAAGTCAGACTAATGTGTTGAGTGGGCCTTTTGCAGACAAATGATTTTCCACTATATGTATTTTGCTTTGAGATGTGTTTCTTTATTGAATTTACATCTGTAGAAGATCATTCCATCTGTGGTGTCAAGTTGTTTCTTTGTTTCTGTGAGACTACAAACACCTCTAATATCTTTGGAGAGTTTGGAGATACCAAGCAAAAGTTTGCAACTATTGAAATACTGAAGACATCCTTGTTTTATTTAGTCAAAAGTGGAAAAGATGATACTATCACTGTAAAGTACTCATGACCACTACTGGAGATATGAAGTGAAAGGTCAAGTATGTTCCTTACATCCCCTAACTTTGTTTCTGTGCCAATATGTGAGAGTATACTAACTGAATACAGATAACCATAAAACATTTCAAAGACAGATTTAGCCCTCATTTTTTCCTACATATTATTCAAAAACCAAATATTTTACCCAAGCGGGATGTGATGTTCTCTTTCCAACAGCTCACATGTGGTATACTGTAGGTTAATAACTGTTGTATACCTGCTCCATCACATCTGTTTCAACACATAAGGCTCCTTGGCAAAGCAAACGGGCATCAAGCCAGAATGTGTAACCAAGAAAATGAGAATCACGTGTTTCATCTACATTTATTCTCCAATAATGGTTTTGAAAAAAAGAGAGATAGTTTTATTATGAGGTATTCATAACTCTGAATAAGTCCTTATAGATAATCTTTGATATTCTAGAGGGAATTTGTGTCCAAGCCATGTGCAAATTTTACGTCGACAATCAGTTTTAAAATTTAGTTAGTTTTATATTTTGGCAGAGAGCACAAGAACAGTTCCCCTTTTATTCTCCTCTAATTTTTCAAAGAAGGTAATGTTGTTTAACTGAATTTCTTCCAGTTTATTTTGGAGACCTAACTACTGATTACAAAAGTGAGGTTATTAAATACAGTTCTCAGTTCTGGAGAGTTGGGCTATTACCAAGTTACATGCGGATCATTTGCCTGGTCAACACATCTTTCAACATACTTTAGGACAGTGGTTCTTAACCAGGGTTCTATCGAACCCTAGGGGTTCGGTGAGTCAGTCTCAGGGGTTCGGCGGAGCCTCTGCCACGGAGGTCAAGACACACCTGACTCATTATGTAAATTCGAGAAGGGTTCGGTGAAAGTGCATATGAAACTGGTGGGTTCGGTACCTCAAACAAGGTTAAGAACCACTGCTTTAGGACCTGAGGTTATATGACTTACCTCTGGCTTGTCATAACTAAGATTTTTACATCCAGCAGAGTTTGGTCTGTGGCTCATTTCATTTTGATTTGTCTGGACACAACCTCGGCTCGACCCATTTAAGTGATGGAGAGGCACAGGAACCAGGCTATATATCCGGCAGCTGCGTCAAACAGCTGACCGGGAGTGACACTCTCCAGATGCTAGGCTCAAGCACAGAACAGGAAATACTAACTCTGAGTTACAGTCTCATTTCACAGGCTGGAATTTAGACTACAGCTGTTTATTGAACACCTGAAGGGGTTAAACATACAGATAAAGCAACAAATGTATTTCCTGGAAAATGTGGGCTTGCTACTGCTCTGTCTTCTGTGTTGACATCAGAAATTCCTGGTTCGTTGCAAAAATAAATTGCTTCAGGGTCTGATGGAGGTGAGGATTTGGGATATAAGAGTCATCGATCATGTCTTGCTGTGGCACACTTTCGTCTGGGGAAATTGCCAGCATCAGTCAGAGGAAAGTGAATAAATGTGGAGAGAAGTAGGCTGTGTTAGTTCTAACAAAATAATATTACAGTCCCTGCAGTCCAACTTGTGAATTCATCTCTCTGCCGGCTACTCAGGAAGGATCACACACTAATGTGATTATTGTCCTGGGTAAGGGCCATTCCTGTGGGACTTCAAAGAGAGCAGATCAGAGGGAAAATGAGAAAAGCTGTAAGCTGTGATGCAGACAGGTGCAGAGCACTTCTCTTTTGCTTTAAACATATGAGAAGGTTCAACATGAGGGCTCTCACCAGATCTGTTCAGTATTTCAGCCAATATTTAACATACGCATGATACATGATTTAATGTTTTAGCAATTAAACGTATCATAATTCAGTACTGATTAAATTATATTACCAAATCCTCTTTGTAAAAAAACAAAAAAAAAAAAAACAGCCTAGAACAAAAAAAGGCTTGTGCCACTGCTCCAAAAATACCCTCCACCCCCCACCCCACACACACACACACACATGCAGGATGATACAATGTCCCTGTATTTGTTACCCTGGCATGATGCTATGCATTGAGCTTTAAGTCGGTGGGAAAATTGTTATAATTTGATGCATTTATTATCCTCCTGATACAGATGTCACTATGGTCAATGACTTTGACTTACAGTCAATGATATTTTGTTTTCTACTGTGGCTGACTTTAATGTTGATTTACTCCAAAAGATTCAAATTTCACATCTATTCCTCAATATTCTTAATTTAATTTATATACTAATTTACAGGCTCACTAGAATAAAACACATCTGCAGCTTTGGTTGACAATAATTTTATAAATTATTTCAAACATATTACTTGCTCTGGGTTATTGTTAACTGATATTTCTGATTATAAATTGATATTTCGTTTTTAAATCAGACTTAGTCCACAAGATAAGTGTGTTATACAGATATTGTCGCAAGTTCAAAAAGAGAAATGGAAACTTATTTATTCCCTTGATGCTGAATTTGTTTATCTCTCATCTTAACTATTTTCACATCCATGTTTGAAAAATATTTCTGAAAATGATTAGCCTTGGATCACTCGAGGTCTGCTAAGAACTTAAAAAAAAAGAGAGAGAAATGAAAAAATGCTTAAACAGTATTGAAAGTCCCACCCCATTAATATTTAAGCTTATAAAAATATAAAAATGCTTAAAAACTGCTGAGAAAGTACTTTTCAGATGAATGTGAACAATCTTGCAAAACCATATAGAATCTGTAATGAATAGAAAGAGGGTCTTCACATCTATTCCATCTAAATTATCTGATGGTGGGAAAATTTTTGCTTTTTCTTTGGACATTATTAATAACTTAAAATGTTTTGTACATATTGGCCCCTATTTGGCTAAAGTCATAAAGAAGGAGAATAAAGATAATGTCAGATCAGTATCGCTGTAAAACTATGTTTGATCCTCCTCGCTCTAGAGAAGAGCACAACAGCATATTGGAAATGACAGATTCTGCCTTCAGGTCATGATGAAATTTGAATTAATCTTGTTACAGAGACAGCTTCTTATATCCTTGAACCCTTATCCATGTTTTATCTTTATCTCTTGGGCTGGGGCTGAAGCTGGGGTAGTCAAAGATCAGGTGATTCCAGTAAATTCACTAACTACTGTCTTATATCTGCTTGCCTTGTTTTTTCGAAGTCCTTCAAAAACTTGTATATTCAAGAATTATATAAATAAATAAATAAAAACATTTGGATGAGAGTCAAATATTGTACTGCCATCAGTACGGTTTTCTGAAAAAAAAAAAAACAAAAGAAAAAAAAAGTCAGCAGAAATGGGGGGCCTCAGGGTTCATTCCTTGGACCTCTTTGGTTTTTCATACACATTAACAATCAATCCAAGCAAAATATGCATTAGCTTATTTTTTGTCTTGCTGTGTTGTCGCTTTACATAAACATTTTTTACACTAGCTCACAAAGCAAATGAAGAACGATCATCCATTTCCAAATGGTTTCAGACTGACACACTCTCGCTCAATGCAAATAAATCTAATTTCACAAAACTTTGTAACAAAATAAATGTATGCAAAAGATAAAGACAAGATATTCATAGACAAAATAGAAGTATCTCAAGTCCATTCCATCACATTCTTAGTAGTTATAGTAGTTAAAAAACTAGCCGGGAAGAATCAAATTGAATATGTGTTCGAAAAGACCATGACAAGCACAACACTGAGAAGGTTAAACCCTCTTCTGGTTTGAAACATTTCCATCTCTTTGTCTTCTGACCTCTTCTACATCAAACGTTCACTTCTTCCAGGGTGTGTGAATCTAGCAGTATCATGATCGTCACCCTCTGGTCCTGTATACTGTTGCACAGTCTCTGCAGAGTCACTACAGGTTATTTCTGCTCCGTCTCTTGTGAGGTGAGAGGGCCAGCAGAGTCACAAAGGCCATCTTTCATTAGTTCATACAGGGTTCCCAAACCACACAGTTAATCAGTGCAGCCACTGCATACCTGTCTCTGACTCCTTCCTCCACACCTAAGAGTCAGTCCTTCCTCCTCTGCCCCCTACGCCCTCCCTCCGTCTATCATCTGTCTACAGCCTCAGTCAGCAGTCCCCACGTCCTGCCAAAGCTATAGGCCTCTGATTCATTAATGCTATCATAATTGAACTGTCATGGCTTTAGAAGCGCTGTAAAATGAAGGCAAATCTCAATTAGACAAGCATGTTAACTTATATTGCTTCCATCCTAATCTCATTATGTATCTTGTTTCTTTGTATCTCATACCATCAATATTTCAATGAAAGAGATAATTGCATGAAAAAGGAGAATATTGCATTATACAAAGTGATAAACTATCAACCAATTAACTAAAAAAAAAGAACATGATGATCTCTGTTTTTGACTGAGATCTAAATGAGCAGTTTTTCTACTAAAAGAACAAATAAAATTGGACTCATTACCCACATCAGACCAAAGAGAGTCAGTTTCGGCTTAGTGGTAATCAGCTCGGCCGCTGCTTTAATTGTTCTGGAGTGATCAAATGGGAATGAGTGTAAGCATTATCAGAAGAGGGAGAGGGGAGTGTGGTGCTGCCTGTCTTCCCATCTCAGGTCTTTAGCATAGAGAATATTTTAATCCAGCCTGACAAGACTGGGATCTGCTTAATCCTATTACAGGCTTGCAAATTAAACTACAGTAGACCCACACTTCTCCGCCTGTTCTCTTTGAGTGAGAAGGGAGCAGATGGTGCCAGCTCAAGAACCCAAGTGCAGTGAACTTGAATGGCTGCATTTGGACCCCAACCCTTTACCAAACAACACAACAAAACCAGTAAAAAAGGAACTTGTCAACATGGTTTCTTTTAAGAGGTAAAAACTGCTTATCTCCAATGCTCTTAAAACTCAATAAAGCAATCCCAGGTCAAAAAACCAACATTTTTCACTGGTAGGTGAGGTGGCTTTAAGACATGCAGCTACTGGCACTCATACAATAGACACTGCATTGTTGACAATTTCCTTGTCCTTCAGGATGATGGGAGTGTACTTTATCCGTCTCTTTTGTGTCCTCTCTTTTTTCTCTTCCAAAGAAACGGCTCGAACAATGATTTGCAGTAGGATGTGGGTGCGCACTCAAGCGTTCACCTTATACAAATGCAAAAAAACAGCAATTTGCTGTCATTCCTTTTGTGTTGCATGATGGGTCATTTGATCTGTGATTACGTTTTGTGATTTCTTTTTACCCAGCCTTAGTCAAAGGTTTATTTCCCATGTTGTTTACCTTCCAAGGATCTGAAGAATCAAGCACTCCTATGTCCAGAGGAAGCAAGAAGCTTTGATTAAAGACTAAAAATGCTCACATGCACCACTGTATCTATCCACACCACCACTTTTTCCAATAACATAGACTAAGTCACAAAAAAGACAAAGTCAGAGAGAGCTCTTTATCGTCACAAGGATTGCTCAGTCATAGGTTTTCTGTCCCAGCCCTGGTTAAGTAAGGTTAGGGTTCATGTTGGCCTTCCCACAGTGAGCAGCTTTTAACCTCATGCCAGCTACATCAATCTCAGGCTGGTGTGATCACTGCTGAAAGGGGTGGGGATTAAGAACAGCCTGTGGTCTGTAAATCAGGCAAGCTTTGGAGGGCCCCTCTTGTGTGCACCATATAGGCAAAATAGGCCCCATACCTTTGACTACAATGTAGACATCAGCACTCGTGGTGATCCTGAGAGCCCAAGAGCAGACCTCCCATAACCATATGTCTGAGCTAGTCCCCAATAAAAGTGCAACAAAGAGAACAGATGAATGAAATCATGACTCAAATGATCAAGCACAGTCTAAACAAAGTGTAATCCATCTGAGGTTGTGCAAGAGAAAAGATCTGTTCAAGCACAATAGAACAATGAGAACTGAGTGTCATATGGGAATTGTAAGCCCACTCTCCTCCTCCTAACAAGTCCAATCTTACCAATAAAGCACAAGCCAATTAGCACCAAGCCCTTACCTTTTTATTTTAATCTGCACTAAGCTACATAAATCACCATGTCTGGGAAAGACGGAGGCAAATAAATGCCTGGGGCATTTGTGTTTGACAGATAAGTCTCACACACAAACCTTTGGTCAGAAGCTAATTCAGTGGGCCTTGTAGTGATTGTGTAGGGCTCATGTAGATTGGTTAATGGCACACTCAGGTTTCTGAGCTTGTTCACAGTGCTGCAAAGGGTTGGATAAGGGTCACAAGTGAGTCAGAAAAGACTATTTTTCAGTCCCAGATGCAGTTTATAATGTATGAGAGGAATGGTTGAGAGGTTTAGAGTTGGGGGTTCAACTAACGACTATTTTAATAGTCGACTAGTCAGATAATTATGAAATTTTTCTCAAATTCAACATAAGGTTGCTTTAATTAAGTGGCAGTGATGATAAACATAGGAATTATGGGTACTTCAATGAAAAATGCATATTTTATTCAACTTTGCTCCTAATCTGCTCGTTCAGACATGCGGGGTGCATGTCTGCTTCTTTTGCAGTAAGGGGTCCATGGTGGCTCTCTTCTTCGAACAGCATGCATGCAGATAATTTGAATTACTTAGGTAAGGTGTAACATTAAAGTTCTCTTTTAAAGCCAAAATACGCTTATGAAATGAACATTCAAGGCAATATGTTTTGTTATAGTGATGCTTGTTATGAAGCTAATATCTTACTGATGCGAGTCTAACTGTTCATCCAACATTCCGACGTGCCTTCTCCTCAAATGTTTGTGCATCACTGGCATGCTGCCATGGTACGCAAGGTCTGCTTTGTAAACTTTGCAAGTTTATTTTCTTTCCCACCTTATCTCGGCTAAAGTGCTCCCAAACTTTTGAGGTTTTTAAGTGCATACTCGTAGCTGCTGTATGGGACGCCGCCATGTTTGAATACCCTACCGCTCAGCATAGACGCTATTGCGCATGTGTGACTCTAGGCAGACATCGTAAAAAAGTAAAATGCCTCATTCCACTGGGAAAAAAAAACAACATCTGGCAACAATAGTCGACAATGGAATTATTGTCGACTTTTTTCAATATTGATTTTTGTCGACAGCATTGACTAATCTTTGCAGCCCTATTCAGAGTGCAGGGTTTTCTGAAACACACTAAATAAATGTAAATGTCTCATGTTCCTCTGTTTTATCCGATGAACAGGAAATTTGCTGCCGTCTGTCAAGTTTTGGGTTTAAAAAACAACAGTAATTCAAAACAATTAGAATAGACAATGTGCGTTTGTATAAAAGTTGAGTATCTAATAGCTGCTTCACAGCTCATGCCTCAGTTGCTGCTGCTTAGTAATGCCTATTCCGTTTTGTTAGAGTATTTAAAACCGTAACTTTATTAGTATAATGCTTCTTATATGTTCCACCAGCTCTGTTTTACACTAACACCAGCGCAGCTCTCTGTAGACCAACAACCTGAGGATTGCGCTTTAATATTTTCCTGCAATTTTCTTTTTGTTATTGCGTTGTCTTTGCTGTTGAGCTAATTACTCCAGCATGGCCTACTGAGTTGGGTCACAGCCAACACCAGCAAAACTAATTAAGTGACACCCGAGAGCATTTATAGAACAGTGCTGCAGACGCTCTAATTCTGTTACATTGCTCTTTTTAGTCCTCTTTGTTCTGCACTCTGGGCTGATCATGTGCTCGTTAGGGTCCAAACTGTGGTCTGTTAGCTGGAAAATGATCCTGTGCTTTATTCTCTGCAGCTTGTCAGTGTGTGAGTGCAAACAACTTACTTTGCCTGACTGTTAATATGTATGCTATTGATGCTGCAAAGCCCTCAGGCAGTTTGTGCTTCTATATTAGATAAATATTTCCCTGCATTGTTTGTTTTTTGAAGTGCTTGTTATCAGTGTAATACAGGCACAGGTCAAACTATTATGATGAAGCCGGCTGAGCTTTATCTGAAATTTGATGGGGTTTTGATTTTCATCTCTGCTTGGGTTTTAAATAAATGCTTTTTCTTCTAGTACTAAACATCTGCTATGCATTAATAAATCCAAAGGCCCCTGCTTTGTTTATTTCTTTATTTCCACAGTTCCATTAACAGTACACCCCCCTGCTACACACTCACTCAGACTTCAAACTACAAAACAATTTGGATCTCAGGGGAAAGAACAGGAGCTTTTAATGTGAATATTTCTTTGTCAGAGCAGAAATTGAACCAGCAGAGTCCCTGTTGATGCAAATGAAAATGTGCGATGCGCCTGGTTATGCCTGGCTGAGCAGAGTGCAGTCAGGCTTCTAGTCACGGGGGATTTGTTGTGTTTGGGGTTTGCCTCTCTGTCTGCCTGTGTGTGTGGGTGGATTCATGGGGCCTTTTCTGCCTGTGTTTCCTTTGCAGGTATTGCGTCTTTGGTGCGCCAGAGAAATGAACTGAGAAGGAAGAAGAAACCACCCATTTCTCAAGGATGTCCAAGATTTACTGTGAAACCATGAGGTTGCAAACCAGCCCGGGATTCATCCCTGCGCTATTCTTCATCACCTGTTTTTGTGCCTTCGACATGAATGCAGCTTTTGACATCCCACTTGAGGGTGAGTCTTGACTTATTTTATGGGTGGCTGTGAGGGGACTGCTAAATTAAACGTCAGCTGTTGCTATTTTATCAAACAAATTAAGCTTTTATTGATAAAACAATGATGCACTGCAAATATCCATGTTTGTTTCCTTAGAACTATGAGAGAAACAAAATATGTGTCAGAGAAGTCCTGAACCTAAAAAAAAGGCATCTTAAAAAGTCTTAAAATGGTTATTGTGTAACATTTAAGTAACAGATCTCATATTAAAAGGTTTATAATTTCCGTGAGGGAACCTTCCCAAAAGGATCAATAAAGTTTTATCGAATTTAATCCATAGACTGTATATGCTATGGACAACTTGGTTCCGCCTTCCGTCGTTTGACGAATTTGAAGCCGAATTGCCCTCAGTATTTCCGGGATTTTCTCCACTTCCTGGAACCACCACTTGCGCTGTAGCATTTGGTGGGAGAGTTCCCTAATAACTTTTAAAAATGGAGCTGTACAGAAAAAAGAGGACTTGAGCAAAAACCAGTCTTACTGTAACTGCATGGCAACATCGCAACCAGGGAGGAGAAAAAAATTATATTCTGTGTGATAGATTTCTCAAGTTTGTCCACAGCTCCATAGGGATTGCTGGAGGAGGCAGGATTTATGACCTATACTGCAGCCCGTCACCAGAGGGTGCTGTTATGGCTATGGCTTCACCCAGCGTGGAGGCAGACGGTGTCCACTCTATATACAGTCTATGATTTAATCTAATTTGAGAATATGCAATAGTGCACACTAAATCCCCTCAAATTTGACTCTACAGAAATCTGAAAACTAGTGAGTGTAAGGAGATATTTAATATTTTAAATATAAAGTTTTTAGTTAATTAAAGTTTTAGTCTGGTATTAAAAGTATAAAAGAATAAATGAAGATTTGTTCCACTGAATAGGTTGAATTTGATAAAATTGACACTTTCATATAAAAAGGCTTCTAGTTATTGATGCTCACATTGTACTTGTTTTGACTTGAAGTGCTCTTCTTTGACAGAAAGGGTTGAAATATTTAAAAGTGAATTAATCACACCATGGGAAAGTGTTACAATCATCAAGCTCTCTGTGAATGAATACATTTGCAGCCATTAACTTGTTTGTATCACAATTCTTGTTTCTTTTGTCTTGGCTCAGCATGTACCCTAGTTTCCTGGGAAACACATATCAAACCTGTAAATTATTCATATAAGTTCCTTAAGGGTTTGATAAAAAAAAAAGTTCAAACAGGTTTTCTGAAAAGACAAAAGCATCTTGGTCTCCAGATGTCAGAATAGCTTTATTATTCAGTTTTCTGTTTTGCATTACTCTTGTGTGTTTAAAAGGGTTTACTTAGAGGATGCTTGTGATGTGAAGGAGAATTCCCAAACTGCTGACTGCTTTTGTTGTGTTTATTTCCCCCTGGCTTCCGTGGATTTTATAGTTTTAGGTCATGTAAACAGTAAGTTCACTCTGACACTCTGTAGCTGGTATTAGTCACATCCTCAGCTCCCTTCTGCTAATCTCTTGGCTCACTGTTGAGCAAAGAACAGCTTTACTACGCACATATGTGACTCTCATCTGTCATCACCCACCAATACATAATGCTAGTCGTATTCAAGTTCAGTGTCCAATGGCATTTTTTTCATTGTCTCTTACACTCTGTCACGCAGCACCATTAAAGGGATATTCCAGCTAAATTTAAGTTATGGTCAAATCCACCGTAACACCGAGTTAAATACCCCCTTGAGAGATGAATGATGCCGACTGCTTGCTTCTCTAGTTATACCAACTTTAGTAACAACCACATGATAGCAATACGCAGCGGTCTACGTCTCCACATGCAAACCTCAACCAAAAAGCCACTCTGTAGCCACCAATAATGCTCAGAACAGCACCTAACTTCATCAACAGTACATATAGGGTCCCAGCCATAGTACTAGCCATCAAACATCTTTTTAGCTTTGCCTGGTTTCGAGGACCCATGCTCCTCCAGCAGCCCCTAGTTTGTGGGGGAGCCCTGACAAGTCGATTACCGAGTGCAGTGGAGTTTCGCAGCTTAAGGAAGAACATTTAAGATTATTACTTCATGGAAATGCAATCAGATCAAGATGCTAAGGCAGAAGAACTACCACGTCTGCAGTGCAAAGTGATTATTATGATGATTATCACTTAATGGAAATGTTTCGCTGCACTCGGTGATCGACTTGTCAGGCCTCCCTCTAAAGAAGCAAGCAGTCAGCAACATTCATCTCTCGCAGGGGTGTCTAACTCCCCCATGTATTTGACCACAACTAAAATTTTACACCGGAATATCCCTTTAATAGATAACCTGTTGTGTTTTCTCTGTGTCACATCTCTCATAATACATCAAATATGAATGAATGCTAAAATAGAAGAAGTTTCATGCGATGACTGATTAGTGAAATACATCCGTGCCATTGATGTAAACCTATTGATTCATGGCAAACTGTGTTTTGGGATAGAATTCTGCTTCTAGAGTCGTACCATCATGGATATCACAGGTCACGTGGTTCTGAATCTGAGAGCAAAGACCTTTAAATATGTCTCCAAATGAATGTTTAAAATGATAGGAGCAATCAACGGAAGAAGAATATTTGAAGTCAGACAAATTTATATTCATTTTACATTTTTTTCTTAGCTCAGTGTTCCTGAAACTCTAAAAACAAACCGTGTATTGTGAGTATAATCCATCTGGTGTTGGCATGTAAGGGGTCACTGAACAAACAGGTTGGGAACCACTGACTTAGCACCATGTTCACGATGAGGTCATTAGTAATAACGGGCTTGTGTTGTTTCTCACATTTTCATGCCTGTGTGTTTATTTGTTTGTTGCCCAGTTGAGCAGCTGCCCACCATCACAGCTCAGTCACCCAGCTCTCTCATCGCCTTCCCTTTTGACGAGAGCTTCCCCATGGTGTGTGAAGCCAAAGGGAATCCTGAGCCAGAGTGAGTACCAAGCTGGGCATCCTTCAGACGGCATGATGAGAGATGTTTCAGCAGTTAGACAATAACACGCCGATAACACACAACATTGACAACTATCATGTTAACCTGGTGCATTCGGTTGACCGTCGGAAAAGTGAGCATGCTGAAAATGTAGTTGTAGGACTTGATAATTCAACACTGGTTTTCTTTATGTAGATTCAAATGGATGAAGAATGGCCAGGAATTCGACCCCTCTTTAGACCCCCGGCTGATGAAAGAGGGTAATTCTGGGACCTTTGTGATACCCAATAATGGGAACCTTACAGAGTACCAGGGATTCTACCGCTGTTACGCCTCAAACAAACTGGGGACTGCCATATCCAAGAAGATTGAGTTCATTGTGCCCCGTAAGTAACAGTGTGTGTGTGTCTGTCTGCGTCTGTGGGCTTGGGTTTGTGGTGCTGTGTTACAGTGCTTTCAGACTAAGTCAGGGCCAGCAGTCTTGGGTAATGACTGAATCTCTCCATTGTGAGCCATTCATTGTATTGGATGTGGCAGAAAGTCATTGAGGCTCCTGAACACCCCACCCCTCACGGTATCTCATCTGTACCTCTGTAATGGGGAAAGCATTGATTGAATTCCGTTTCTCTGTCAATTTTTGGCTACATTTTTCATTTTGCTCACAAACTCAGTCATGAATTCTCAAAGGTGCCTTCACCTTTATATGGCTTGAAGCACGCCACTCAATATGATATATTTGTCGATTCATTTCTTTTTGTAGTTTGTTTCTTTGGTCCTAAAACTGAGAAAGAAATCCACAGAATCTCCTGAGCTCAGAGGAACAAGCCTCCTGCTCAAGTGAAGAATGATATTACTGCCATCTTATGGACATTGAGGGAACTGAACGCTGCTCGGTTCAAGTATATTATAGAAAGCATGACTTAATCATTTGATGTTCTGTCTTTCTTCTAGACGTCCCAAAGTTTCCCAAAGAGACACTCGACCCTGTAGTGGTGGAGGAAGGCCGGCCTTTTGTTTTGAAGTGCGAGCCACCTAAAGGGATACCTCCGCTGCAGATCTACTGGATGACTATCAGTGAGTGAACCCAGTAAACTAAAAGAAAAAGAGTTTAGAAACTGTTTAAATATTTACTTTTATAGATCTGTTGTTGATACTTTATTTCATTCTGTTAGTATATGAGGAAAATTCTCAAACATGTGAATGAAAAGGAGCAGAAAGAAGAAAAATCGTATAGAGTCTGCCCCTCTTTCATAAGATATTGATCAACTAAACACATAAAAAATAAACAAGAGCTGCAGGCAAATATGTCTTTTTACAGTTCATTATTTCTTATTTTCAAAGAAAACACAACATTAATTCACATTTTTCCACAAAACAAACAAACCAAGACTAAGATGAACATTTTTCCCTGTATTTGCTTAAGATACTGGCTTTGACTCTTTTTTTGAAGATAAAATTTGATTTAGCTTCTTTAGTTTCTTTGTACAGATTGTTCCACAAACTGATTTCTCTCGCTGTGACACAGCACTCCTTCAGTTTAGTTCTGAATCTTGGCTTTTTAAAAATTTCAAATCCTTGTAAATTATAACAACTTTCTCTTTTTTCCATGCGGCCCTGCATGTTCATTTGTAAAATTTCCGTATGAGCTTATACATAATCTGCAAAAAACTGAAATCTATCAACTCATTGAATTTCAGCAACTGCAATTTAACAATTAATGGGTTTGAAGGATCTCTGCGTTCATCATTCATTTGTTATTACCATGTGCTCTTGCATTTTGGTTTATTAGGAAAGCTATGTTTGTTCAATACTTCCTTCCTGCCTCATGATTAAAATGATTCATGCATGTCTGGGTAATAAAAAAAGACTAAAAATACAAAATGACATCTAACATGAAATCACTGTCCCCTGTGTTCAGGTCTTCAGCACATCGAGCAGGATGAGAGGGTATCGATGGGCTTAAATGGAGACCTTTACTTCTCTCACGCAGTGGAAAAGGACAGCAGAAGAGACTACTGCTGTTTCGCTGCCTTCCCCAGAATAAGAACTATTGTTCAGAAGACTGCTATGTCCGTAATTGTCAAGACAAGTAGGTGTCATTTCTTGTCTTATTTATTGCTTCACTTCAAAGACCACGCAGGTGTCCCCATGCCCTCTCAAAGGGCACCCACTCGTGTTTTTGTTTTTTGCTTCTGTTTTTCTTCATGTTCTCATGCTTCATTTTCATGCTTTTGTTTTTTTGTCTCATCCATCTCCATTTCAGAAAAAAGTGACATGAGTCCTGACACTGGTAAGTTCAATATTTGTGGAATAAAACACATCATTATGCATCAATTCTGATGTGATTTCTCTGCTGTTTCTCTGAAGCTAATGCAATCCCAGAGAGACGCCCTTCTCTTCTGACGCCCTCTGGTGTCAAATCAGAGGTACAGCTAATCAAAGGAGAGGATTTGAAGTTGGAGTGCATTGCTGAGGGACTGTAAGTACTACCTCCTATTTAATTAACTGAGTGTCTGGCAGACTTTAGAAGTTTTTACCCTTAAATAAACCAGAAATGCTTTTAAAAGTTATTTAAATGTAACAGTTTTAGATGTCATTTGTATTTGATTTATCTGAATTAGCTAAAAATTAAAAATGTCATCACATTTTTGTGTGACATCTTTTATGAAGCATAGACCTCATCCAACTTTGTGTCCTTTTTTCTGCTAGTCCAACTCCACAGGTTGAGTGGGTGAAGATTGGCGGTCAACTCTCTGTTAACGCAAAAATGGAGAATCATGGGAAACTGCTGGTTGTGCAGCAAGTTGAACAGGAAGACGGTGGGAAGTACATGTGCAAGGCAAAGAACCCTCTTGGAGAAGCTGTACATTACTTCACAGTGACTGTAGAGGGTAATTGTGACATGCTGTAAATATGCATGCTGTCTGAGTGTGGCATGAAGGGCTAAATGTAACAGTTGTATAAGAACTCTTTGAGAAGACTGGAGAAAGGACTTTAAATGTACATCCCATTTAGGATGATGATGGAGGAAGAACTGAGTAACTGTGCCCATTTCATTTATATACTTAGTGGTTTCTCAACAATGACACTCGAGGCTTTGATAACATGCATGAAAAAGTAGGCTGTGTCTTTTTCCAGGACTTCCAGAGTGGGTGTCTGAGCCTGAGAGCCAGCTGTACATGATTGGCTCAGATGTGCTCATCAAGTGTTCAGCCAGTGGGACTCCTCAGCCGACTATAACATGGAGAGTGAATGGTGAACCACTACAGGGTCAGTCTTAGAGCAGCCCTCCCTCATACTCTCTTCACTTTATAATATCTTTCTTTTGCAGGATAGTTTTGACCACACAGCGATTCAAAGTAAACAAAGGTCTTGACTTTTTTTTTTTTTTGTCCTGCAGCAAATGTTTTAAATCATCATACACAAGTAGTTTTAGATTCTTTTGTCATCACACTTTACCAATATGCAGCAGTAGAAACATGAAAATTCATTTAAAGGGATATTCCGGCGTAAATTTAAGCTATGGTCAAACACACCGTAACACTAAGTAACACCCCCTGGAGTGATGAATGTTGCTGACTGCTTACTTCTCAAGTTATACCAACTTTACTGCATAATAGTAATACACAGCGGTCTACATCTCTGCGTACAAACCTCAACCAAAAAGCCACTCTATAGCCACAAATAATGCTCAGAACAGCACCTAACTTCATCAACAGTACATATAGGGTCCCAACCATACCAGTCATCAAACATCTTTTTAGCTTTGCCTGGTTTCGAAGAGACCAAACACAACTCACCCACTCTCCTCCAGCAGCCGCTTGTTTGTGGGGGAGCCCTGACGAGTTGATCACAGACTGCAGCGGAGTTTCGCAGCTCAACGAAGAACATTTATGACTATTAATTCATGGAAATGCAATCAGACCCAGACACTAAGGCAGAAGACCTACAGCGTCTGCAGAAGCAAAATGATTATTACATTATCATTACCTAATGGAAATGTTCTTCCTTGAGCTGCTGAACTCCTCTGCAGTCTGTGATTGACTCTTTAGGGCTGCTGGAGGAGAGTGGATCAGTTCTGTTTAGTCTCTTTGCTAAAGAAATCAGGCAAAGCTAAAAAGATGTTTGATGGCTGGTATGGCTGGGACCCTATATGTACTGTTGATGAAGTTAGGTGCGGTTAGAGCATTATTTGTGGCTATAGAGTGGCTTTTTGGTTGAGGTTTGTGCGCAGAGATGTAGACCGCTGTGTATTGCTATTGTGCGGTAAAGTTGGTATAACTAGAGAAGCAAGCAGTCAGCAACATTCATCACTCCAGGGGGTGTCTGACTCGGTGTTACAGTGTGTTTGACCATAACTTAAATTTACGCCAGAATATCCCTATTATACAGTGTTGTACTACTAACAGATTCTTCTTTTCAAAGCTTGTGCACTGAACTAACCAACTGTATATGCCTTCCATACAGGGGTCCCTGCTGCCAACAGAAAGGTGTTGGATAATACCATAGTTATACATAATGCCAAAGCATCTGACAGTGCAGTCTATCAGTGTGAGGCATCCAACAGACATGGGACCCTTCTGTCCAATACAAACATCATGATCATGAGTGAGTAAGAAGCTTTTACTCAACACTTTTCACCTCTTCTTTATTCTCACCAAATTCCTAAAAAGCACCACTCTGAGTTTTCTTATGGAAAGCATATGTTTCACAGCATTTGTCAGTAAGTTTCAGACTTGCATCAAGTGTTTTAGTAAATACTGGCAGATGTGACAAGCTAGACAGCTAGTGCTGGTGTGTGCACAAAGCAGAGGGAGGCTCTTAGGAGGAGGACTCTACAAAGTTTGGGAAAACAGTTCTGCCTGTGGAGCAGTAACCTCAGCTCTCTGGTATTTTTGTGTGTAAAGTCCATACAGATTTCAGTGCCATGAGACAAACATGTGCTGCTTTACAAGAGCAGATAAAAAAATGAAAGAACAGAAAGTGGATTTCATCTCTTTGAGCAAAAGTTGGAGATTGTTCTCAGTGACACAGGAGTTAATAAAGCTGGACAGGCTCTGAATGCTAAGTCCCAGCTGCTGCCTTTGTAAACAATTAGGAGAGACAAGCCGTTTTAATGAGAAGCTTTGGCTAAAACTGATAAGCTACACGCACGCGCTTAACGCATTAGTCTATTGTCTTCCTTTTTTATTTTCATTTTTACGTTGACTCATTTTGAAAATATGACAGCTGAATTATGTTTTTAAAAAAAAGTAAGTGCACGGAGAAGTCAACAGTGTGGTTTGCTCAATTATTCTACGTTCTTCATCCTGTTCCTGTTTTACGATTTTATAAATGCTGGTTACAAATGTAGACCCCTGGTCATGTTCTGCTCCATGGTCTTTACAGATCTGCCCCCCTTCATTTTGACAAAGGACGGGGAGGAGTACTCTGCTGTGGAAGGAAAGGGAGTGATGATGCACTGCGAGGTCTTCAGCTCCCCTCCCTCTACCATCACTTGGTAAGTGTGCAGATTTTCTAGTCTTCCAGACACCAGCAGAGAGCAGTAGACCTCAGCTAGTCCGTACAGACTCTCCCGCTCTATCACAGTAACACACACAGAACCCTTCCTCCACTACACTGTGGACTGACACTGCTAAACTGACACTGTCTGTATGTTTAGACTGACTCTAGAGAACATGAGAAGTTAATGGTGTCTGCTGAAAATATGTGTAGGAGCAGAGACGACTCCTCTGAATCAGTGGAGGGACCCAGATTCTCTATCCATGACAATGGCTCGCTGGAAATCCTCAGTGTGGAGAGGGATGACATCGGGCAGTACACATGTGTAGCTAAAAACATCGAAGGATTGACTGCTATCGAAGCCATGCTGTATGTGAAAGGTAATCGGTTTTTGCTGTAAAACTTTTTTCAGTCGCTTCCAGTCCTTGAACTATATCTAATACATTTGTGCCTCTGCAAGATCCCACTAGAATAGTCGTGCCCCCGGAGGACCTGCAGATCTTAATAGGTACCACAGCCCAACTCTCATGCCTGGCAGAGTATGACAAGTCCTTCAGCAACGACTTTGAGCTCCTATGGGAAAAAGATGATATGGAGGTAGCCCTCAACTACACTGAGAATTCAAGGTACCAAGTTCTTTCTTTTTTTCTTTTTATACGACGTAGTTTTACTTTTCAGGTTGATCAATCAATGGCGTGTCTCTCTTCTGTCAACAGATACTTTATCGAGGATGGTATCCTTCAGATTATCAATGTAAGCCATATGGACAAGGGGGTGTACACATGTGTGGCAAGAACTCCAGTAGACCAACAGAAAGCCTCAGTGACGCTCACTGTGTTAGGTGAGCATACTTATGATTAATATTTGTGCTCTGGGCCAAAAGATCAGTGACCTGCTGCGCTTTATTCATGTATGAAACATTCAGACTAGTCAGTATGGGAGAGCACCACAAGAGATCATGACCAGTCAGGCTTTACTGTCCACAGCTCATATAGTGTTGCAGCCATCCTTTCACATCCTCTAGCACAGGGTTGATTTGATTGATTCTTTGTTCTCATGAGCTTTTCTGCTGCTGAGATTGATGTTTCTGTGATTTCATTATAAAGCCATGTTGCTTTAATGGTTTTCAGATGTCCCTGATGCACCCGAGTACTTGGTACTGTCTGATCACAAGAGTAAAAGTGTGAAACTGAAGTGGATCCCCGGTGACGATCACAACAGCTCAACAACAGGCAAGTGAATCATACGTTTGAGTAGGTGTCAGTACATAGAGTACGGTACATCATTGGACACATTTTCCTCATCATTCTGCCCATGAATAGATTTTTTTTCAGTACCACCTTGTGAGACTATTGTTGGTTTATTCAAGCATGAATTACGGCCTTTAATTTACAAGCACAGATAAGGGTTTGAGGAGTTTGACGCACGGTTGTGGTTAGATAAGCAATCATCTGGTGAGGAGCTGCTCCAATTATCTTCTGCCAATCAACAGAGTTCATCATCGAGTACGAGGAGAGCCAGTGGGAGCCAGGTAACTGGAAAGAGCTGCTCCGAGTGCCTGGGAACCATAACCTGGCTGTACTTAAACTCCACGGCCATGTTGACTATCGCTTCCGGGTGTCTGCTGTTAATGCCATCGGAAGGGGGCTTCCCAGCAAGCCCACAGAGAGATACAAAACCCCCGCAGCAGGTCTGTAGATCCCGTTTCTGTCATTGTTTATTCTAGTTTTTGATAACTTTTGCCAGGCCACTTAAACGGCTAACACTGTGAACCACAAGCACTCAGACCTGCGTAATAATTGACTAAAAAGTTTTGTTGAAAATCTGCTTTCCTTTACTAAAAAAAACTGACTAAATCTTTAAAAAAAATTTTTTCTGCAGCTCCTGACAAGAACCCTGAAAATATCAAAATCGAGGGTCATTTACCACATGAAATGAATATCAACTGGGAGGTATGAGATGGGATTTATTCTTTTTTTATCTTAAAATGAAAACTCTGTTATGCTGGTTACCTTGTCTTTTATGTGAGTTATTCACATTTGGGAGTACAAGAAACTGTCTGAGAGTGCATAGGGGAAGTCTTATCGCTGCTCCAGAGGCCCTTATAATGGAGGTTGAGGAATAAAAATGGCTCATTAATTTCATTCAGTGACTCAATTCTTCAGATTCAATTTTTCAGGACATCTGTCTAAGCTTCCACTGAACTTCTTCCGTACTTTTTCCTTGATTAGAAAGAAACTGGAGATAAAAGAGGGGATTTTTCTTTAGGAGCATAAAGTTATATATCATGTCGACAGATATAGCTCTCTGTCACACAGGTGGCCCTGTCATGGCAGCGTATGCCCTTAAATTCAGGATTCATGAGCTTTTTTAAGACTGGTATCTACCTCTTCGTTGAGAAGAGTAATCTGTTTAACTATAGAGTCCCGAAAGCTCTCTAAGGGAAGAGCCATGCTGCTAGATGAAGTTGTTGTGTAACACTTATGCAGTTTTGGAGAAAACAACACCCTATCTCCAAAGCTGTCTTTTCTGGAGTTTGTTTTCAGCAAAGAACAGATTCTGAAGAATGTCAGGAGCTCTCTTACACCAATAAGTGGAGATATGTCTCTGTAAAATCAAGTGATGTTGTGTTTTCCTTCATTTAGCACCAACAAATTAGTACTAGGTGTTGCATACATACATTATTTTGACGCGATCGACTTTTGTGTTAACCGTACATTTTTTAAATGAAACTTCAAAATGTAAAAAAAAAAAAAATATGAATTTGAGTAAATGAAAGAAATCACAGTCAACTTGATTGGCCTCATATGTCGCCCTTCAAGAATGATTGATATCTAGAGGTGGGCGATATGGGCAAAAAAAAAATTATCACAATTTTTCCATTCTGGCGATGACAATTAAAGTCCTGATAAAAACGATTAAAATTCCAAGTTTTTTAATCATTCTGTCTCTAGGACACCAGCTGGCGTAGTCAAATAAGATATTTAACCACAAGTTTAAGGGGTAGGTTATAGAGAAAGCTAATAAAATGTGTTAACACTTTAAATATTTATTGAAAACTCTTATTGCGCAGAGTGAACAGCAGCAGGTCTACTGTCTGATGTTAGACATACCTGATTGCACTCATCTAAGCCCCAATCTTAAAGAAAATCCCTCATGTAGAGCCTCGTTCAGTAGCGAGCTGCCCAGAAACGTCCTCTTCATTACCTTCAGCCATGTTCGTTTGTTATTCTGATCTGTGTGGGCTATGGCTGCAAGTCTGTCACAACTTGCATTTATCGCGTTTATCGTAAGATGGCAAATATTTATCATGGAGAAATTGTCTGACGAGAAATCATGAATGATAATTTATTGCCCATCCCTACTGATATCTGTACGAAATTAGGAGACAAGGATATAGGCTACAACAATGATAAGCTACCTTTTGACAGGTAAAAAAACCCACTAATGGTATGGTGACTAATGTGTTGCATATCTACAAGTTTTACAGCTGCAGCTTTCGGAAAAAATAAACTGTCAAAGAGTGTCAAATAGTTTTGGACAGGGAAAGTTAAAAAAAAAAAAAAAAGTCTCATCTGCCTCAGGCAATTTTTCTCTCCAATTTCAGAAACAATTTTTCCCTCTGATTTCAACCTTTTTTTTTTTATTTCACATCAACTGGTGGGCAGCCAATCCTGATTCTGATGAGTGATTTTATTGAATGAATTTTATTTATATTCACTACTGTGTTTATATTCAGTACAATAAATTGGCGTGTTTGCTCACTGGAACTCGGGGTAAAAAGAAACTTTAGTGGCTGTAAAACAGAGGCACTCCCGCTAAAATGTTTCTCAATCAGTTTATAATGCAATCTGACAGTATGTGTGTTTTCTTCTCCTCTCAGTCCTATGTAATTTCAGTATGTGCACACAACACTGCAGTTTTATGCCCTTATATGGGAAGCTCACCTGTGCTAATTGGGAACACTGAGCTTTGAAGTTGTGTGTGATCAACTCTGTGGTTTTATAACCTGTTCTCTAACTTCTCTGAGACACTTAAGAATACATAGAAGAAAAATCTAAAGACAATACCGGAGAACAAAGCTTATTGTTCTTTTCTCTCCATTACTCAGCCTCTGTTGCCCATTGAGCACAATGGTCCTGGTTTGGAGTATAAGGTGAGTTACCGGAGACAGGATGTTGAGGAGGACTGGACAGAGCACATGGCGAAGAGGCATTCATTTGGGGTGAAGAACACTCCGACTTTTGTACCCTATGAGATCAAGATCCAAGCTAAGAACCATCAAGGCTGGGGCCCTGAACCCAAGATAGTGACTGGCTACTCAGGAGAGGACTGTGAGTAGTGATCCCCTTTAACTAACTTTGATTAAAATTTTACTTTTTCAGAATTTTGTTCCGGACTAATGGGGCAAAAAAGTATGGCAAACCAGGACATATAAACATAGAGTTCCTGTAAATGTCAATATTTGTCTTCATACACTGTATCTTGGGACTAAATGTCGTTACACACCGGTGAATTGGCGAAGCGACGTGAAAAAGAGACGCGAAAATACAGAATATCCGGCTGACGCCTTTTCCTATACACATCTAGTGCGATGCAAATAAGATTGCATGTTCCCATAAACATACACCATGGGAGAACAGAGGGGCAGAGAGAAGAAGGAGGAACAATGGCGACGACATCCTCAAGTGATGATGACCGGATCATGGTTGTAAACCTCTTGAATAACAAAAAGAAAAAGAAGAATTGAAGTGTCTGGGTACATCCAATACTGACCTTGCGACAGGTGATGGGGGAGCTCCACACAACGATCCAGGAGCTTAAATTGTATCAAGAGAAATTCCAACAATATTTCTGAATGCCCCTTGAACAATTTCAAGAACTGCTTCACCACCCGACTCCGCGTTTACAGAAGGAAAGGAGAAATTACAGAGAACCGATTGATTCAGAGCCACATGTCTGAGGTAAGATTGATATCAGGCTATAGATTTATGTAGCAGTTCACCTACGAATGTTTGCAAAATTTGCTACAGGGGGAAAAAAAAAATACAGTTGCTTTTTTGCTCTGCGGCTGTTTGTAGCTGGTGTGGAAACTTGCATTGACTTTATGAGTTTTTAAAAATTATTCGCTTCGCTAATTCGCGGGTGTGTAACCACCCTATAATACAGTCCCAAGATACAGGAACTAAAAATTCTCACTCTACCAAATGGATTTGCTGTAGTGTAAAGCAGAATGATACAACAGTGGGATATGTGTTTTGAAAGAACAATGTGCTTTGATTGACACATCTTTTCCCCACTTTTTACCAAGGGTCTGGGTATCACAGTCCTGAGCTTTAGCTTCTTATACTTTCCTGAAAAAGCAGTTGGTGAATCAGTCTATTGTATCTCTTGTGTTCAGCTTTCTTCTGGACTTGCCCTCAGGAAGTCACTTCAGGTCATGACTCTTCCCCCTCGATGTGTCTTTATCTAAATGTTGCATAATTTTTTAACTCACTGTATCCCCTCAGCTCCTTAGTGACACTATTTCCCCGGTAAATGACCCCATTTTTAGTTAGCCGGTGTAATTTACGGTATAGTCTTTTTATGTGGATCCCTAGCAGGTAGTCCTGTAAAGAGATGATCAGTGTATGTTGGTTGTTGGATAGTATGTTTGGCATTTTAAATTAAACTTTGATGTAATCTGAGTTATTTTTAGGTGAAACTGAAGTGGTTTGTCACTGTTGCAGGTCTTTCCCCTAAACCTCCTGTTTTTCGGGGGGGATTGTTGTGAACTTTTTTTTTTACCTTCTGCTTTTTGCAGTTCCATCAGCTGCACCCGAAGATGTTGCAGTGGAGGTGATAAACGGCTCCGTGGTCAAGGTTAGCTGGATACGTGTTCACAAGGACAAGTTACACGGACATCTGGGAGGCTACAGGGTAACACTTCCGAACTAGACCTTTATTAAGAGACAGCTTAAAAGGAATGGCCCTGACCTTGTGCTTAATGTTTGCTCCTTTCACCCCATGGCTCTTCTACTTGGCCAGATCAGTGTTTTCATTCTTAAACTCACTTACTCATTCAGCCTCGCTTGACATATGTGTGTATGATAAATGTACGATATTAAGTTGTTGTGACTCTTGCTGAATGTGTTTCTCGATGTCACCTCCCTGTTGTAGATAAATTGGTGGCGTCTGCGCAGTCTAGTGGAGTCAAAGAAAAGCCATGGAGAAAAACAAACACTGACACTCCCTGGGGACCGGAACCATGCTGCGGTATTGGGACTGATGCCCTTCTCAGAGTACAGTCTCATCGTCATGACCTTCAATGGGCGGGGCAACGGCCCGGGCAGCCATCCTGTCAACTTCAAAACCCCAGAGGGAGGTAAGATTGTGGAAAACAGCATGGAGTGTATTGATTCACAACTTCTCACAGAAAAAAATCTAATAATAGCCAAGGAAACCTGGTCACAGAAGTGGAGAGTTTACTGTGTGTATTATCTCCTCTCCCCACAGTCCCAGAGAAAAATCCTGTTTTTAGGGTCACGGATGTACAGAAGCATACTGTCACCCTGGACTGGGCGCCACCATTGGAGCCCAATGGGATTCTCACCGGATACCTCCTTGAGTATCAGCTCAGTAAGTATCCTCACCATAACTGAAGTAAAAACAGTGATTATTTTGCAGCGTACATTACCCTGAGGTTCTTTTTGTGATATCAACAATTGGTTTGTTTTGAAACCTAAAGTCAGCTCTCTAAAGCCTGTGCTGAGCCTGTGCACTGCTCTCTGTCCTTTAAACTGGTTTCAGCCCTCAGGTCCTTGATGGAGTGGACTGGTGACATGTGTTTCTTAGCTCCTTGGTTATTGATTCTCCTTTTTTACTTTGTTATCTTACAGGGATATTCTGGTGTAGGTTTAAGCCATGGTCAAACACACTGTTATACTGAATTAGACACCCCCTCAAGAGATGAATTTTGCCAACTGCTTGCCTTTTAGTTATACCAACTTCACCACGACTGCAGAATAGCAATACACAGCGGTCTACCACTCCACGTGCAAACCTCAAACAAAAAGCCACTCTATAGCCACAAATGATGCTCAGAACAACACTTCATCATAACTTCATCAACAGTACATATACGGTCCCAGCCATACCAGCCATCAAACATCTTTTTAATTTTGCCTGATTTCTTTAGCCAAGAGACAAAACACAACTCACCCACTCTCCTCCAGCAGCTGCTTGTTTGTGGGGGGGTCTGATGAGTCGATCACTGAGTGCAGTGGATCATTTCCTTGAAGTAATAATCATCATAATAATAATCTTGCGCTGCAGACACAGTAATGTCTAATGATCATAGATGTTCTTTCTTGAGCTGCGAAACTCCGCTGCACTTTGTGATTGACTCGTCAGGGATCCTCCACAAACAAGCGGCTGCTGGAGGAGAGTGGGTGAGTTGATGGCTAGAACTATGGCTGAGACCCTATATGTACTGTTGATGAAGTTAGGTGCTGTTCTGAGCATTATTTGTGGCTGTAGAGGTGCTTTTTGGTTGAGGTTTGCGTGTGGAGACGTAGATGGCTGTGTATTGCAGTTGTGCGGTCTTCGCTGAAGTTGGTGGAACTAGAAAAGCAAGAGGTCGCTCAAATTCATCTCTAGAGGGGGGGAATCACCATGTCTTACAGTGTGTTTGACCATGGCTTAAACTTAAGCATGAATATCTCTTTAAGTTTGAGGGAGTGTCATCATACTACACCTTTTTTGGCTTGGACACTGTTGAAATGGAATTGAATAATCTTGTTTAAATTCCACTTCTTCTTCAGCCCAAGTTAAAAAGTAAAATAAAATAAAAATGCAAATGACATTATATACTTATGATATAGACTGATTTGCACAGGAGGGGTGGAGTCTGATGGTGATTGCCTCATTCCTGATCCTCAGCGAGGGAAGCTAAACTATAGTGAGGTCAAAGTGTGTGCAAGGGAAACATGTCAGGGTTATGTCTGCTTGCCTGTGTGTCGTGATCATGGCTTGGCTAGTGCTGACTAAGGCCAAGTGTCACAGTCTGTTTAGGTTCAGTTTTACTGACCTCATCCTGTCTGTGGAGGACATCATCAGTGCAGCTCCCAGTCTCTGGGGATGTCATCGTTATGCATATCCTACATATGCAGCCACTTTCCTGTCCTTAAACGAAAGTCACAACAAAGACCAGACTGGCCTCTAACAACATCTCTGTGCTGCACCACTGAGGGGACATTTTCTTTGTACAATGACAATGGCGCTAAAAGACTCTTATAGGTGTGCCTTTTTTTCAGGCCTCATTAAGGTAGTCACGTGTGAAATGTGGTGCGTAATGTAGCCAGCTGACACTGTATCAGAGACATAATAAAAATAGAAAGCTATAACGCAGCTGTGTAGGGTCTCCCAGGTTCACAGTAGCTGTTAACAGTGCCACACCTCACAGGTTTTAAAGGAAGCCCTGCTGTAACATTTATTATCTCACTGATCATGCAGAAATACTAGGGTGTTTGATCTGTAAAACTAACCTGTGATGATGGGGCACATTTCTGTGCGTTTTCTTGTTTTGGAAACATGTAATGAAGGTTAGTTAATGATTTCCGTGTTAACAGGTCTATCATACAGCAGGAGGTCAACCAGTTTTCAGTCCTACAAAGAATAGAGGAGAGTGGAGCCTGAGCATCCTTGTGCAATGCTGGAAAAATGGATCATTTATCCCAGGAGAAAAAAAACAAAGCTAACAAATGAAATTTGCCGTCACTGATAACAATGGGTGGTATCCTGGCAGAAAGAGAAACAGACCCATATATTCTTTTATCTTGTTCAAGAAATGGTAGCATCTCTTTCAAAGCAAAGGTCACCTGAACACCTGCTGGGTTTGTTTTTGTTACAAATAACATAAATGTCACCTTTCTACCTCCTGTGCTGCTTTATGCACTGGAATTTTGTTGTCATTACACTGTACACCAATCCAACAGAGATAACGTCTGGCTTTGAATGAGCAGGATACAATCTGCTGTCTGTCAATGCAAATAGCATTTCAAATGAAGAACATGCAAATGACAGGTTGTGTTTCTATTGGCCAAAAAAGAAAAGGCACAGTGACAAATGATAGTGACATTTTCTTTTTTGGCATCACTGAAATGTCTCATGGTCCTTTGGGGAGATGTTTGTTCCAGAGAGCCAGCTCAAACTTATGTGTCTTTCCAAAGCACTGACTTTGACCATTAGAAAAACAAGCTTTTCCATTTGGGTTTTAAAGGGTGAGTTTAGGGCTGGGCGATAAAATGATAACGATATATGTCGAAAATTAATTTCCCACAATATCAAAATAAAATATGGTCAATATGCTTTTCGATAGTCAGCATTCTGACATGTTTTGGTCGACTATACGAATAGCCAATGAAAAGGAGAGTAGCTCCAGGTGCGTGCCGAGCTTAACCAATCATGTGCTGAATTAGAACCAAGTAGCAAACAACTGTGTAGTAGCAGGCTGCAGCTACACACAACTATAGCACTTTAACACGTGAAGCCGACAGCACTGTCAGTGAGAGAAAAAAAGTAAATGAGTGCTACTGCCAGCAGAAATGCAGATGAAGGCTCAACGGATGATGACATCGTCGACAACACTGGGATGAAAACATCAGAGGTGTGGAGGTATCTTGGTTTTTTGAGGTCGGACATGAAGCAGAGTAATGTGCACTGCAAATTATGTTGAGTACATGTTCTCGCAAAGTCAAGGAATACCTCAAATCTTTTTCACCACCTGAAGCAGTGCCACGCAGCAGAGCATGCAAAATAGAAAAAGGTTACAAACCTCGAGTGGAGCAAGGAGCCGATGGCGCCTGCGCAGCTGAAACAGATCATTCAGTCCTCTTTCTTTAGTGCAACGCCTTACGACAAAACGTCGAAGAGACACAAAGACCTCACAGATGCATTAGCTTATTGTATTGCAAAAGACATGCTACCAATAAGCACTGTTAAATTTCATTTTTTATCTCGTGACAGATATCTATATCGACTGATATGAAAAAAATATATCGTGATCAACTTTTTCCCATATCGCACAGCCCTATATGAGTTGTTAAGCAGTTGCAGACAGTGTTCTAAACACTTAGATTAATATATATTTTCTTAATCTAGTCAACAACACTGAAGAAGTTGGGCCACTACAGACTGTAGACATCAGCAAACCCGACACCACCAAATGGATTCTGCGAGACCTGGAGTCTGTGAGCAAATACAAGTTCTACCTTCGCTCATGCACCACAGTGGGCTGTGGGCCTGTCGTCACCGAGGAGTGCACCACTACATTGGAAACAAGTAAGTGAAAAAGCTACGGGTACATTTCAGCTTTCCGGAGAAGAAAACATGAACACAGACAAGCTCCGGGGTGCAGAATTGGCAGGCAAATTCAGGCTTAGTAAAGTCAGTGACGGATTCATTTTACTGTGACAAAATGGATTTGAACTCGTGGACTATGATATATGCTCGGCCAGCCAAGCTTTTCATATCACCATGTAAGTAATTTTTGTGGATAAACAATTTCATATGGATGTAGCAGAGGTTTTCATTTGTCACTGTCATGAAAGAGCAAGTGCTTATTGATTGGGTAGAGAGCTGAAACAATCACCTTAGAAAGAAAATTGCTTTGAGCAGATGGGAAACTGAAGCTTTTGCCTCTGAATAGCGTAATCATGAAAGAGTTGGTGGGTAAGTTATCATAATGTGCCTGCCTATAGCATGTATCTTTTCATTTTAATTACTTTGTTTTTGCTCATGACTGCACATCACTGCTGGCTCACATTTAAGACTTCAGGCAATAGTAGAAATGACTGGATTGGACATGAAAGTGGAAACTGTTCCTGGATCAACTGATGTCCGGAGATTATCTGCAGAATCTGATCATGAATAATTTGTTGTTGATATTAATACAAACTTTTTAATACACCATGCTCACATAGTATGTCATTGGGGTTACGTTATGAAAAGACAAAAAAAGCACAACTTAATTCTGAGTGCGAGCCGGAGATGCGGTGATCGATTACTTTGTGTTTCCTTGAGAATCCTTACAATCACAGAAAGGAACTGAATTGGCTCTGGGGGATTTTTACATGAATACTGAAGAGCTTGGAGAAAAAGGTTCACAGTTTAAAGGAGACTATTGTTTACTCAGCTGCACAATTCATACTGTGTGTGCCTGTGTGTTTCTGTTTGGAGTGGGGTATTAAGCTTTAGACATAAATGTTATTCTGCAGCAGCACTTTCATGCACTATAACTGCGTGTGTATGTGTTTGTCCTGTTAAATGCCTTCTGCAGCCTTCTGTTAAAGCACCACTAAAAGCAGCACTGCTATGGCATAACCTTGGATTGTTGCATTGTCCGTGTGTTTGCTCATGTCTGTATAGCAATGCTTTGCTTCTCCCTTTTTTGTTTTCTTCTTTCTTTATTTTCTTTTTCCCCCAGCTTCCATTTCGGCTTCCACTGGTGGCTTCAGTACGTAGATTTGTGTGTCTGTGTAAGCTGTGAAAAATCATACCAACACCTACTATTTCAGAGTGATCTGAAATACAGTTTCATTTAGAGTGTGTTTCTGAACCTAACGTTTGTTGGTATGATGTGGTTCACAGTATTGATTATTATCTAGGTAGTAGATGCATGCCTTAGATTTAGAAATGTGGACAGATGTGGTTCCTAGAGGGCCAAATAAATTGCCAAATAGTCAGACAAATTTGATTTTGTCAGAATTAAACAGCTCCAAACACACATCTAGTATGCAGATAACTGACCTTGTCTGCTGTGTGCCCTTTTCATCAGCAGAGAGCACTCTGATGCCTCCTTTTATTAGACAAAATGTCAGCTTCTCCTTGAATAAAGCTTGTGGTTTTTCCTTCAAATAGCCGTGATTATGAATTAAATCATTATAAATTCATATTAATCTTGGTTCATTAGTGACTGTAAACCACTAGTGACTTTCATCCTAGCAACAGCAGACTCAATGCAAGTTGACCAACCTCGAGCTGGGGAAATAAATGATGCTAGAAGAGCTAAAGTGAGGAAAAGTACCATGCATGCCACACATTAGTTCTGCTTCCCTTCAATGATTAAAAAAAAAAAAAAAAAAAGTTTCCTTTACTGGCAAGACATTACAATCCCTAGATCCCAGTTTCTGTGTTAAATTCAGCATGCTGTTGTACTGCATACATGTAGTTTTATTTAAAGTCCCACTCTGATCTGTCGTTTTTTTTTCTTACTACTTAACAGTCGTCTTTAAATTATGATTATGAAGTTTTTAGCCAAAATCTCATTACCTGTGTCATATTTAAGGGCTATTCTTCTGCAGAGCTCCAGTAGCTTGGTAGCCATTCACCTCTGAGCCGGGGGAGGAGACAGCGCTGCTCTGCACACTCCTAGTTAGCTTGTAGCCTAACATTGCTGGTGTAGTAGTAGTAGCAGGCAACATAGGTGTTATTCAGCTCTCAGACACTCATGTCTTCTGGGGGATGATAAAAGTTGAAAACATAATTAGCTTTCTTACGAACATTGCAATTTGCTAATGCACAAGCTTGTCCTGCAATCATGCTCTCTGTTTCTCTGAGTCTGGCCTGCAATGTGGGGCTCTGGGGGCGGAGCTTGGAATTGCTATGTAGGAAATCTCACTGTTTCCGAATCTGCTGTTTGAGTCTGCCAGAGATTCACAGTGATCTGAATGCAGAAATACTCAGAAATGCAATTTCGCACTTAGTTTTCTCATGACATGTCCTGTAGAACATGTAGACAACAAGAAAAACATGATTTTCATCGGAGTGGGTCTTTAACTCGATACTAATGCAAGATTTTAGTTCAAATAGTGCCTAACAGTAGAATAGATCACCCAACGCTTTAATCCAATTGATAACCAAACGATCTGTCTTTCTTTCCAGGCAGGTCAGCTTCCCCCTCACCTCCAAGCACTCCAAAGTCCCCTGTGACCAAACCCACTCGTTCCACTATAGGTAGAGCTGAAGCCTACTCTGACACAACCTGCTTTTAACCACTGAGACAATGACACAGGGAAAGCAATCTGGAATCTATGCAGCCAATAAATATCTATGTTTTTATTAGAATATCCTTGGATGATTAAGGTGATGATTCAACCCCTGGACTCACTGGGCCTTTCTGGTTGATTAGAGCTCACTGGTAACCACAACAAAGACATGTAACTCCTCTGTTATTGAAGGTGATCGAAGCAGACTCCCAACTCTTTATCAGTCAAGTGCACACTTTTTTCAAAATAAATGCTAATTTCTCTGTGGCAGCACTGGGGGGGATCATGGATAGGAGATCCATATACCAAGCTAGATATCTGTGGAGTCAGTCACTTGGAGGGGGCCAATATGGCTAATTGTCAGTGATTGATTTGTTGGGCCCTGGTCTTTCCTGTACACACCAGTGTATTGACCCAACAGTCACCTGACATTTCCATGTAATCTTCAACTGGGTAAACAGCAACACTCTTCTGGTTGTCTGGGGGGAATCTGAGCTGAGAGAAAAAAGTGAGCAGCAACATCCTCCTTGGCTTTGCCTGGTAGGTGTAAGCTCACACTGGAAGGGTGATATTTACAGGACACTGAGATAAGTGGATAAGTGGAAGCTGTTGAAAGCTCCTATATCAGAATATTTTCTGGCCTCTCCTTATAAAAAAAAAAAAAAAACCTTCTGACTTTGAAGGGGCGTCTCCCAGGGCACCGGCTCCCTGCTGGGTATGCAGCTGCTTCTTGCAGCATTTAATAGTAAGCTGAGGAGCAGTGTGACAAACGCCGCAACCAGCCTTAGGATATTTTTAGTCAAGGGGCCTGTGTCAGTCAAAGTCATTGTGCAGTTCCAATGACTGGAATTACCATAGTTGCAGACTAATCCATCAACATTAGGCAGACTGTCATTTGTAGTGTTTGGGATGGGCAGCACAGACACAGGTGTCCTTGTGTGCTGAATTATCACCTGAGTAAACAATACACCTGAGTGGGAGACACAGCGGAAGATTTGCATGTTTGCCATGGGGAAATGAAGTGGATTGGGGTTTTTTGGACTGGCTTAGACAGCTGCTATCAAAGCTTTCTTTTCACATACTAATAATAAACCTCACCCATTAGGATTTCCCAGTAGAGTGTCAGAATACAACATGAGAAATTTGGTAGATGAAGTGTGTAATTGTTTTCAGAGAAAATGACAATGATAACAAATGCATTATTAAAGTATCCATAATTGAAAACATCAAAGAGAGACTCTAAACAGGGATGAACTAAAAACTAAACTTTAAATAAGTCTCACAGATGTAGATTAAAAAAAAGTTGTCTTGATATAATCCAAATCCTTTATATAAACTGAATTGAGGAAAGATGTATGTTGTGATACTCTAACAAAAGAAACCCTTATTTACAAAAACACTGCATGGTGTTGGCTCCGGCTAAACCTGTGCAAATGAGCCAAAAAGATTCACAAAGCATATGCAAATGGTTACATATTCTCCAGAATGCACTGAAGGGCTAACAATAATATCACTGTGTTGTTTGTGTAATTTAAACTGAGCCACTGTACACTTCTTTTAGAGTAAAGTGTGTCCCTTTCTATGCAAATGATCGAATGACCGCCTAATGCTGCGAACACACGCCACACAAAGTTAGTGTAAAGCTTTTGCTGCCTACTGAGTCTTGTGGTAATTGTATTGAAATAATGTCATGCTCAAATGTCAGAGTGATCGAGACATCAATTCCACCTCTGGACAACCTGAAAATTATATACTTATTCTATGCCCTGAATATGACTTTGACGTCACTATTTTTAACAGTCGGGTTAATTCAATCCGGCTGTCTTTGACTCAACCCACACACGTATGAGCTGCATCATACAGTGGAGGGATGCAGCTGGGTTTGCCTGGTGGGTGGGTTTTTTATTGATTTCATTCATTTAATTTGAATGATCTGCTTTGTGCTAGCTTACTCCAAAAGGTACGCTTGATATCATGAAACTGTGAAACTTTTGTCATCTGTCATGAATCAACTTCACGATAAACATGTGAAGAAGTTTCCCTCTCCACTCGGCTTATCTTAAATGTGAGAGGATTTAGAGCTGTCAGGGTAACAGCACACATTTAGCACATGGAGGCATAAAGGATGCTAACAACTCATCTCGGTACAAAAATGCAAATCAGGAGTGTGAAGTCACAGAACTTTGTGAGCTTTTTGGGCATGGATATCATTGGTGCTGTTTGTTCTGTTAACCAGAGCAGATGAACGATGGGCCAGTGACACGCAACGTAATGCATTCAGTAGACATGAATCAATGAATCAGATCACCATTATTAAAACAAAGAGTTGTTTCAACACTTTTCACATGATTGTGTGTCTGTCAAAGTAAGACCCCTACAACTTATAGTGCGTGACTTTTCCTTAAATGGATTTATTAATCATTCAGTGAATTTTGGTGAGTGTGTGATAGAAATTAAAGTAAAAACAACCGTTTATACCTAGAACTGCCAAGGGGAGCTGTTTTGACCCCCTAGTTCCAATAGTGTCAGAGATGCTACAATGTCTTTTCTAGAAGGTGTCAGGTTACTTATTCTCTTCTATTTATAAAATAATAATGGAGACTTTGCAAAAAAAAGTGTTTGAAATATATATTTTTCAGTTTTTTTTTTTGTTTGTTTGTTTTTTTAAGCAAATGAATAATTAATTTCACCAAAAAGGTACAATACGTTCTCAAATTCAACAAACTGTAGGAACTGTTCAACAAACTAAATATGACAACAACAACAACAACAATAACAATAACAATAATAATAATATAATAATAATAAAACTGCACATTGGATCTTCACACACAAAAATATATATTTTAAAAACCTATTTTGCCAAGTCTCCATTTTTATTGTAAAAATAGATGAGAATAAGTAACCTGACACCTTCTAGAAATGACATTGTAGCATCACTGATGCTATTGGAGCTAGGAGGTCAAAATGACACTCCTCGGCATTTCTAGGGGGGATTGGATTATTGGTGGTTCTAGAGTTAAATAATTTGTAGAGACCGAGAAATCAAAGAAAGGTTTGATATCCATCTCCATCTGTTGAGTATTAAAATGCGACCACGCTCTATGGGAAACATCTTCCAGGTGTGACCTTTCACACTGCAGCTGTCCATTTCGATGTTCACATAACTCCTTTTCATCGTCATTGTTGAGTAATTCATTCAGTGACACCATCTCCGCCATATGACACTGAAGCCTTCTTAGAGTAGTTGTTAAGACACATAAGTATGCTTCTCTCACAGAAGTTCAAGAGCGACATCCTTCTTTGTACAATGACAACCCCCCTCACACCTCATTGATGGCTTTTATCAGCATGTCCTCCAATCAAAGAAAAAACCTCTATCATCCCTTTTCTTCTCCTTATCTTGCCTGTAAAATGTTGGTAGTGAAATCTTTTAATACTTGTAGGAGAGCACACTGTGTTTCATACCACACAGAGGAAAAACCCTGAACTGTAACCATAAATCCCCTTCTGTCCCTGTTAGAGTGATTTTTGAATAGATTCTGCAGGTACATTCAGACAATTCATTCATACCTTTTAGTAGAACCAGTAGTCGAGCATTCCTGCGTATACTAACCCATCCTCATCATTCATCCCTACACAGGTGATGGTGTCTGGAACATATCAGATGCCTTGCACACCTCTAAGACTTTCCACAACACTGAACGGCTTGATTCAGCGACTGAGTACACTGTGCTGCTGATTGCAAACAGCTGGCTTGATAATTCTAGTATACTTGAGGACATTATCACAACTGGGTCGACAGGTGAGGGGGGAAACCGAAACTGTTTGAATGGAAACAAAACTAATGGGCCTCTGTCTGAATAGAGTGCAGGTGTATTCTGCATGTCCTTGAGCGATGACTCAAGCAGCAGTGTGTGGTCCTTCATGGTGGTGTCACGATTTAAGCCAAGCCGGCTCGCTGAGAGGAATTACATTTGTACAGCATCCCTTACTTGATTAATTAGACAAGCAGGATTAGCTGTTTAATATTAATACTGGAACGTATCCATCAGCAGCCTCGCCGCCTTCTGCCTTTGCATCAGATAGTTTTTGTCGATATAAACATTAAATCGGTGTCCTGATGAAAAGGCTAAGGCGTGTCAAAGTCACCCGGTTTTGTTCTCTCTAGGTCTGGCCAGCATTCACGGAGGAATATCCACCCAGGGATGGTTTATTGGCCTGATGTGTGCCATCGCTTTCCTCACACTCATTGTGTTGATTGCCTGCTTCGTCAACAGGAATAAAGGAGGGAAATACTCTGGTAGGAGCTCATTTACAGCCCATTACACACACACACAGACACACATCACCTTTCTTCATTGCTGAAGACTGACCTGAGCAGCATATTTGTTTGTTCATTGCCTTTTTGTTGCTCTGAAATCATCTTTGTAGAACATATCAGAATATGTAAGCTTTTTTTCCTCTTGAAGTGACAAAACTCTTTTATTACATACACATGCTTAGAAATGGCTTTCATGCTGGCAAAGTGGAGGTTTGCATTTCTACTGCATGTTAGGGCTGGATGATTAATTGATTTTAAATCATAATCTGGTTATTTGATTACAAGGATGTTAAAAGAATTAAGATTGTCAAATCGATTTTCCTCTCTATTATGTCTCGCGCCTCCAGGCCCCTGTAGGCTCTTTTCTGCGGGGGAGCTCCCCGGTTCCTACACACACCAGTGTAAAAAAACATAGTGTTTGCAAAAGAAGGTGATCAGTTCATAGCTAAATAGGGCAAGAGCAAGTCAGTCGTGTGGAATTGGAACGGCTTCACAGTTTCGGATGAAGAGCAAACCACTCCCTGCTGCAAAGTCTATCTGGAGGCGGTATCAACCCGTCCACACAGAAACAAATTCAAAAAATTTTTTGTCGTATCAGTGTTTCATCCACACAGAAACAGCGTTTCAGGTGACTGTAAACAGGACTTTTTGAAAAGGGGTCAGAGAGTGCATAAATCCGTAAACGACTTCTATTTCATCTCCATGTGGACTTCTATCTGCATCTCTTGAACTGATTATGTCACACACAGCGTATCTCTTATGGCGCCTGTGCGTGTCCGGCCAAAACAACCTTTATACGCATGCTCTGTACTCTTGTTCTGCTTTTGGTGCATTTCCTCGGCAGCATTACAGCGCCACTTACTGGCTTGGCATATGCACTACATCGTTTTCAGTGATTTTCTTTCTCGAGATGATCGAAAAACTCATTATTTAAGTGAAGTTGTCACTGAACAAAAAAAACGAAATCTAAAATCAAGTTTTCAGAAAAAAAAAATCTGGATTTTATTTTTGGCCAACATCGTGTAGCCCTACTGTACAGCCAACATTTACATTTTGCATGATTTAAGCAGGCGTTATTTTTCCAGCAGCGATCCGAACAAACTGCAGCCCACAGCCAGACAAAATGCAAATGCTGCACATGGGGTGGCTGAGCAGGTAATGATGACATAAGCTCTGTGGTATCTCAATGTAAGCCCTCCTGTTGGGGACAAGAGAGTCCTTATCAGCTTTATTATTCAAAGCTAATGGCCATCAGGTTGTCGTCTGGGCAGCCGATCATTTCATTGTCAGCAAAAAAAGAGCACAATGCAGCTCTGTCCTTTGTTTTCTCATTAAATCCCAATTACAGCCTGCCACTCCAACAGCTGCGGGAGGGAGACAACACTTTTTTTTTTTTTAAATCACATCACATATAGGAGAACATATAAGCATTCGCACCGTTCGTAGCATTTTCAGTCTTTAACTCATGTTAATATGAAACCAACATTTACGTAGAAATAACTGCATTTATTTTACAATCTTCCTTTGAGTTTATGCAGACCCTCTGTTGAGAAAAATATGCACTTAGTGGAAACTGAGTTCTAGCTACCACCTCAGTGGAAATCACTGATATCTTCTCTTCATTCTTATGAGCAGTAAAAGAAAAAGAAGACCTTCACCCAGACGTGGAGTCCCAGGGCATGAATGACGACACATTTTGTGAATACAGGTAAGCATCGTACTCAAAGAGCTATTTTGCCACCTTTCTGCAATGACATGCAACAGTGTAAGAGTTTCTATGCTGCTAGCAGTCATCTCCATCCTCTTCTGTGTGTAATTTTCTTCACATTTCTTCTCTCACTGAAAAGACAACCCAGCTTGCACGAGGCTCACATGGAGCCCTCTGTTCAAGACATTTGACGGACTGATAACTGGAAAGTAGGTGGTAAACAATGTTTGCACTTCACTGTTGTCGGAGTGGTAGCATCACGTGATAGTGGCTTTCACCGTAGAAACAGTGTGTGTTTGTGCTGGTAGCTGGTATTGCATCATGAAAAAGTTTCTGTGCTGCTCAGATACTTTTTCTTTACAGTCGACACTGAGCATGCAGCAGGAGGCTAAAGTAGTCTCCCTCACTTGAAGCAGTTGTTACCAGGGTGGTATCATCAGGTCATACTTCATTGATGTTGTGGTCGTCTACTTCAAACAATTATAATATAATCTTTGTGTGATTCTACAGTCCAAGGAAACTATGCACAGAACTAACTAATGCTAAGGTTAGAGGTTAAAGGTGACTAAGTTTTAAAAGATTCATACAATTCATTATACTTCTTAAACTGACTTTGATGGGATATTCTGGCGTAAATTTAAGTTATGGTCAAACACATTGTAACACCGGGTTCGACCGCCCCCCTTTCACAGCTCAAGGAAGAACATTTATGATCATTACTTGGTGGAAATGCAAACAGATTGAGACGCTAGGGCATATGAACTACTGCAGAACTCCACTGCACTCGGTGATCAACTCATCAGGGCTTTCGCACAAACAAGCAGCTGATGGAGGAGAGTGTTTGAGTTGTGTTTGGTCTCTTTGCTAAAGTAACCAGGCAAAGATGTTTGGTGTCTAGTACTATGGCTGGGACCCTATATGTACTGTTGATGAAGTTAGGTGCTGTTCTGAGTATTAGTTGTGACTATAGAGTGGCTTTTTGCTTGAGGTTTACGCGTGGAAATGTAGGCCACTGTGTATTGCTATCGTGCGGTCGTTGCTGAAGTTGGTATAACTAGAGAAGCAAGCAGGCGGCAACATTCATCCATCGAGGGGGTTGTCTAACTGGCTTAACCCACAGGATCCAGAATGGCTCCCCTCTGGACCGGCAGGCAGGTCAGATCCGCAAGCATACAGCACCCACCGGATCTGATCTGCCCCCGCCATCGGAGGAGAGGCACTCACAAGGTTACCGATATTTCTCACGAGGCTGGACGAGATCACACGAGCTCTTGCGTGTTTCCCCATGAGTCATAGAATAAGATCCGCCGATCGGTGTATATAAACGGCAGTGTATACAAACACCCACGTCCCACAACCCTGGCCTCTCCCATTATCAAGTTAAGAACAGTTCAATATCTTGACTTTATTTTATTTTGAAAATTAACCGGATATTTCTGCTGCTGCTCGTGCTGCGCTGCACTGAATTGATGTGCCATGCCCTGGCGTCCGGCAAAAATAGAAGCCTTGCGTATCTGATCCGACCACTGGAGCCAATCAGCAGCGGAGGACGCCAGACGGATTCTGTGGAATGACAGACATTGATTATAATGCTTGCGGATTTGATCTGCCAGCCGTGTCGAAGCGGAGCTGAGCTGTTCCGGACCCTGTGGTTTTTGCCTGTAATTCTGTGTTATGGTATGTTTGACCATAAGGGAAATTTACTCCGGAGTATTTATTTCCTGGTATACCACCTACTTTTTAACCACATTCCCAAACACACACAGACACACTAAGACATAAAGGGAGGGAGAGTCATCTTCACATGACACTTTCTGACTCTGTTATTACAAACATGTGTGATTACAGAGTTGGCTGCTAATCACTGAATCAGATGTCAGTCAGCTTTAGCAGCTGTTTGTGTCGTTGCACCTGTGCACTGAATGAATGAGCTTCAGTGACAGACACAGGGTAGGTGTTTTTCCCTGTAACCTTCTTCCTGTTTAACAAACACCTGCGTATCGAGGATAACCTACAGTCTGTTTCTATTATGTCCTGAAGACACACAGTAAACGGTTGTTTCTATGGGCAAAGTGTTGTGTTGTTATCAAAGGATTCATTGATTGTTTGCATTTGTGTGTACTGATAACCTTTACCAACAAGATTCTTTGATGAGGTCTTTTCAGGAAAACTGAAGAGTATTTGTTAAGACCAAAGCTCCAGGGTAATATTTCTTTACACGTGTACCATCTGATGCTTAAAACAAGAGTATCAAATGTTTGTTGACGTGCTGATAAAAGACTACATTGTTTTCTTGGCTTTCATTATGAATATTTATTTCTCATTTTCATGATTGGTGCTTTTTTATAATCCCAGGTTATCAAAAGGTGATTCTTCAGAAACAAACATTTGTTTATTGTCTGCTTCAAGAGGACCCTCAGTGTCTTATTCAAAGCCTGACATATCCTCATAATCTAGTGATTATCTATTACAATTTCCCTGAAGTGTGATTTACTGCAGCCGTCATACAGTCATTGAATTATATCTGGTATGTGGGCATACCTGTCCATCAAATACTCCTGTTAGAGCAGTTTTTCTGCACCCTCCCTCCTTTCACAATGAATCAGAATCAGAATGCCTTTTATTGTCATTATACGCAGTACAATGAGATTAGAGCCACCCATATCAGTGAAAACATTGGGAAAAAGATAGATAAAAAATATAGAAAACATATGAAACAAGATTAATATGGAGTATATACAATGTAAACATATGGACCTGAGATTCTTTTTTACAGGATAAATATGGTATGGATATGCATAAATGTAATATGTAACAGTATAAAATATAAAGTGCACAGTCCTGAGATCCTATTTACAGAATAAATATGGTAAATATACAGAAATAACATAAATGTAATGTGCAAATGAATGTATATTGTCCATCAGTGATTTGGGATATTGCACATGTTTAGGTATATAGGAATAGAAATATAACACCAGAGTAATATGAAGTATATACAATGAAAACATATGGACCTGAGATTCTTTTAACAGAATAAATATAGTACAGATATGCATAATGGTTCTTGCTCCTTGAAGCAGCTGAGAAAGCTTTAGGATGGTGGGTCTGAAACTACATGTGGTTCAGCTGAGGATTAAGGATCATTAAGAAACTTGGGGGTTCCGGGACTGTTAGGGGACCGTCTCCAAGAAGTCTAAACACGCTCCCTCTCTTGCTAGTGTTTAGATGTGTGAGAATAGGTTAAATGGCACGTAGTGTGAAGGGCTTTGGATAGTTGAAAGACCATCAAGGCACTATGCAAGTGCAGTCCATTTACCATTTGGTCAGCCAATGGTGAATGCTGGTCACAGAGGCTCTTTGTAGAAGCAGTGATGATAGCTTGAGCCCACACCCCCTCCTCTCCAAATAAGCCACAGAGTGAAGCCATGGGTGAAATGAGGTGGTTTTAAATCCACTGTGCCTCTCTTGCAGTGACAATGACGAGAAGCCACTGAAGGGCAGCCAACACTCGCTGAGTAGAGAGATCAAAGCAGGGGACAGCGGGGACAGCCTGGTGGACTATGGCGACGAGGATGTTCAGTTCAACGAGGACGGCTCTTTTATCGGCGAGTACGCGGGGCGGAAGGAGAAGAGAGCATCTGCTGAGATCAAAGCCACCGCTCAGACCCCGGCGTGAGGATTGGAAGTGCCATCCAACGCCCTCCTGTTTCCGTGTGCTGAGAGGAACAAATGTAAAAGGACATAGACATTACCCATACCAAGCACAGGGTTCTCGTGTCAAATGTAATGCGTCATTTTCAAACTGCATACTGCCACCCACATTTTATAAAGCTCTTTTTTGTCAAATTGCAACAGAATGACCGTTACTAAATACTGTGTAAATATGATGTATATTGTTTGTGTGGAGTGTCTTTTTTAAAAAGAAGAAATATCATTTCACAGAGAAGTTTAGAGGGCTTGGATTTTCTTTCTTTCTTTCTTTTTTATCTCCATGACTTTGGCTGCAGTACGTTATGTCTCACTGTCTCTTGCGCCTCATTATATGCAGCTTTGCCTCTGAAGTTTTCTCGTAGCAGACCACCAGTGTTGGGCAAGTTACTCAGGAAGTGTAATTAGTTACTTTATTCTTGGTCCTCTGTTAAAAATGAATATTTTGTCATACTTATTTAATACTTCTTTGTTGCTGTTGCTAACCTCCCTTACACACACACACACACACACACACACCTGCCATGATCAAATAGCTTACCTGGAGTCAGAACAAATCACATTTTAGAGAAGCAGTAAAGTATTGCTGTTTATCTGTGGTATTATTGATGTTAGTTTGTTATCGTTTTTTTTCTTTTTTAATTCCTTACACTAATTGTCACTTGGGGAATTAATGATAATACTATAATTATGCTTTACTGAGTAATGTGTTGCTGCCCAGCACTGGGAATCACAGATGAGTTGGGATATCAAGTTAATATTTTTTATTTGGAGGATATATTACTTACCTTTTATATTTGAAATAAATTTATTAAATATGATGTAAGATGAGTAAAACTGCCTAATAACTTATTTTCTTTCCAGCCGTTTTTTTTTTACCTGACAAAGTAACAAAGACATATCTTGACTTTTACATATCATGAATGTTGATTATTGACTGATGTATTCTCTGTGATGTGAGAAGAAAATTACTTTTATTTTTTCTTGTTATATACTTAGAGTGGACACAAATACCACAAACCTCATTATGTGTCCTATAACAGCCCCGTCATACGGTACTGCTACACTCAGTCATTGATTTCAAGTGATTTTTTATTTCCTAAACCATGACCCAGTTTTAAAGGAACTTGTTTTGAAACCACATGTGCTGTACCAGTTAAATCCAGTTTACAGAAAAGACGGTCTTACAATGATGGCGACGCCAATAATTGGTAATTCTAATGATTTTTTATTTTTATTTTTTTCTGAAAACAAGTCAACAAAAAGCTTGACATTTTTGTATATAAGTACAAGATATTTTTAAAGAGGTAAATTAGTACATAGATATTACTCCTGTGACTTTGTGGTGTATTTCAAACCACAGCCTGCAGTCAGTTTCCTCAGCTGAGACTAGAAGTGAAACAAGAAACAAACTAATTTGGCTGTGTCCAGTTGTCACAGAAATCTTCCTAACTAGCATTTCTAAAGGTTTTTAAACTGTTTTAAGAAAAACTACATATGACAGCTAAAAAAAAAAAAAGGAAAAAAAAAAAACCTTTATAGAGGAAAACTGCTGTTTTTCCTTTACTTGCACAGAAAAATACAACCAGGTACAATATACTGTCTTAATAAATATCCATTTTGCTCTATTCAGTGACTCTAAAGAAAACAAGTCAAGCTGTTTCACCTTGCCGAATGCTCACTGCAGCTCATCTTTGAGTATAAACCACAGACTGTATATAGAATGGACACCGTCTGCCTCCTCGCTGGGTGAAGCCACCACGGCACCCTCTGGTGACGGGCTGCAGTATAGGTCATAAATCCTGAATCCTCCAGCAATCCCTCTTGAGCTGTGGACAAACTTTAGAAATTAATTACACAGAATATAAATTTTTCTCCCCCGATTGCAATGTTGATATGTAGTCACTCTAAGACTGGTTTGTGCTGAAGTCCTCTTTTTTCTTTACAGCTTCATTTCGAAAAGTTATGAGGGGGTTCATTTTTCTATGATTGACACTTGATACAGCCTATGGGCGTACGAAGATTGCGTTGCTCACCCGGGGGATATGCTGTTTGAGCCGAGCGTCATCACAGCGACTTTCTGCGACTCTCCCGCAGAATGCATACAATGCTACTGCGCCAGAGGTGGTTCCAGGAAGTGGAGAAAATCCCTGAAATACTGAGAGCAATTTGGCTTCAAATTTGTATAGTGACAGAGGCCAGAACCAAGTTGTCTTTAGTATATACAGTCTATGGTATAAACATAAGGGTGGTATTGACCTTAGAACCGAATTTGTGGACTGATTTTATACTTTTGATATTGCTGAAGGGCTTGCACTGAGACATGTTTAAGGTCTGGGGTTTCGAGAAATCCCGATATTTGGTCTCTGAAGTGTAAGTCAATCTTAAAACAATGTTAGCGCATGCACTCCTGTAGTTTATCTGTGATTGTGAAGATGTTCAAGTCTTTCCGATTCCAGCTCCCTCCTTGCCCTAAGATTGTAATTTGGTAATCTGATGTCCAGAAGACTGAGCTGAATCAACTAGTGTCACCCCTTTGCATCAGATACTTTCATTTCTTTACAAAAGTGTGACATAACAACGAACTATTGCTGCACTGTATATGGATATTAAAACTCTTCGCAATCGGATAAATGTGACGTGGTTGCATGACAGTTGGCATCTTCTCATCAGGCTGAGATATTGTAGTCTGTTACATCAGTCTCAGCTAGCCTTACTTTATAAGTTTCAGTATCAGCTCCTTATGTTTTACAGCGTTATCTTTGGCCTCATATTCAGAACAACTGCTATGTTTTGTATAAATTGAGCCGCTGCATGTTAAGAATGTTAATTGGTGTTTTTCAGTGTCATTAAATTGCTTTACTTTCTTACATCCTGGTAATGGTCTGGCTGCCTTTTTGGTCAAAGTCGTCACAAATCAAAGATTGATGATCATGTCTTTTGTTCCCTGGTATGAATTCATGAAATGCCATACTGGGGTCAAGTCCCTGTCTGAGCTGAGTGTCTTGTTTGATTGCCTAGGCTCCAGAACAGAGAACAGTGAAATCACAGGAGTGGACTGGGACAGGCTCAGGATCATGAAGTAAGGGCTGTAATCATGTCTGATGGTAGAGAGGATGGAGTGAGGGGTGTCACAGTAAGGGTTCTCATGCCATGGCTCACAGCTGCCTTTACACTGTCATCTCTTACCGTGGGCAGTGGTTACTTGCTTGCACTGAAAGAAATACAACAGTTAGGTGTTGATAACGGACCCTATACAGCTGGATGTGTCTCCACATGAAGGCTACCTATAGAACTTAATTCTGCACCAGAACAATTACTGCTCTCTGAGAGGACTGTGAAATACAGAACAAAGAAAGCTCTTTAAAAAGAGCTGAAGCTTCACTTTTCTAGCACTGCTGAGTGGGGTGTCAATGAACTCCAGTGTCCTCCTGCAAAAATGTTAGAGGTCTTTTTGTGTTGTGGAAGTATGAAAGGACAATGAATTCATTCTGCATAGATTAATCAATCTTTTTCAGTTCAATTAAGAGTTGGATTTGATTTACAATTTACTCTCCAGGCTGAACTAACTTTATGATGTCTACACAGTATTAATGAAAACCCTTAACTCTTTTCAGTGTCAGCTCTGGCAGCATTCAAGTATTTTGTACTTGATATGCAGGCTCAGTCTGGAGAATAAAATGACTTCTGTGGTGGTCTTTACATCCACTCAAGAGCTTCATGTCACTTTTTGCCCATTCAAGCCATATTCCTACAAATTTGGCCCAGGATGCTACAACAGGGAACAATTGATATCAACTAATCTCCATTCATACATATTTACACACCACTGAAAACTCACAGATTGGTTTTACAATCCAGCGTGGACTATTTGCAACCTGCTGCAATGATTCTCCTTCTTGGCACAGGCAGGTAGATTCACCCTAAACAGCAGGTCTGAGGTTTGTTAAGCCTGTGGTCTTAGTGACAGAGCTGCATGTTTTTAGGTGACCAAACTGGGGCACGGACTTCTGCGGAAGGGGGGCTTGGCTAGTAAATATTAGGGGCCCCGAATTTAGGAGGTGCTGGGCAGTAAAGGATAACTGTAATATACTGTAATTCCCAAAAGTGACAATTAGTGTAAAGGGTTAAAAATAATAATGATAACAAACATCAATAATACCACGGATAAAAACTATACTTACAGATAAGCTATTTAATCATGACCTGTATACATGGAGCTATCTCCACAAATGACATCGACTTTAACTTCCAATAGAAAATATCTACATTTTTGTTTGATTACAACACAATGTTTAAAAAAGATCGTTGGACACCTCAAGGAACAACCTTAGTCTGGATGCCTCTCCCCTGTGGTTCGGCTAAGGTGGCATGGTTTGTGTCTTTGGAAGAAGAGCTGAACCAGAACTTATGCTGATCTACAGAGGTGGGAATTCTTATGGACTTCGATGTATATTTTCTGTGTAGCACAAGTTGTAATAAACGACTTCACTGACAGTTTTGTCTCCTCCTTGACTTGGAATTTGGAATATGTTGCCTTTTTACATTTTTTTTAGCACTACTGAAACTCAGGCCAACCACTCATCCTAAAATCTTTGCTGGTAAGACGCAAAATCCCATTCCAGCTGGCCCCCCTTGCCTCTTCCGATCCATCCAAACCTGTGATGAGAAAGTATGACCATCAGAGTTTTATGGGACTCATTTACAGTCACAACCATGCTGAACATGGCCTGGGTGGCTGGGGTGTTGCATGTTAATGTCCACTTAACCAAATGAGCTGGTTCCTTACAAATCCTTTCTGGACACTTAAGCCCCCCAGATTGTTCCTTTTCCATTCTCTCTGAGAGACTTTTGAGAGTGTGAAAGATGCTACTTTAAGTCCAGGATCACCTGAGATGCTGCTGCATATAGTGCGGACAGTGTGACTGTGCGGTAGAGTTTTTGAAGGTTGTCATGTTTATAGTTCAACACCTTTCTGGGAGTTAAAGAGCAGTGTGGTGACTGATTTTAACCCCTCTTTTATCATCTGCAGGATGTGTACTGGTACTTCTTTATTTGTGCACAGTGACTTGATATCAGCAGCTGCTTCTTGACTTGTTTGATGGAAACTCAAGGTTCAACACTAACATCTTTCGAAATGCTGTCTTCACTTTTTTCCAGTATTTTCTTGAAATCTCTTCTGTGGCCTGATTTTTCGGTTCGTGAGACTCCAAATTGTAATATGCAGCCAAGTAATGAACATGTTGATATTGATGCTGGATGGCTATGATCCTTCTTGTGTATCCAATGTTACACTAGTGTGAGCCTGACAGATATCAATGCTTGGTGGGATGTTACCATTTCATGTTCAGTCATGGTGGCATTGCTGTAAGCAGCAGATGTCAAGCAGAGGTAGCTGTGGTCGACTACTCCTCTTTATGGTCCCTAGAAACTTCTTTTACTTCAGTGTCACTAATTGCTGAAATCCAGAGTTTCACCCCTAACAGACAGGACCTCACCTGATGATCTGAAATTAGAGCTGGAACAGCCATTTCCTTGAGGTCACAAATCCCCTTTAAAGGAGCAGAGAAACAGGAACCATTTAAAACCAAACCATGTTTGCTGCAGTTGTTGGAGTGATATAGAGGTTGTTTGTTTACCCTGCCAGCCCTTCACAAATTCAGTGACAGAAGATTAATTGCTGCATCACGGAGCTGACAACAATGAGAATAAAAATCACTGTCCATCACCTAAGAGATCATTTCACCTTCACATTTAAGTCCAAAGTAAAGGTCAAAGCTCTTTACTGTTAGGATCTAAACCATCTAGATGGTGGTCTAGATCCCCAGTCCTTGCATCACCAACCATAACCTCAGCAGCATCATTATCATCTGGGAGAAAACTTTACATAAATGCAACAATAGCACTTCATATTAATTACGCAAAGTAAATATAATCTTATCAGCTGTAACTCCATTAACCAAAACTACGATTTCATTACATGATTTTTTTTTTAAACACAAAGTAATTTCAAAATAGGTCTGACCTGCATGTCTACATTGATTGGACACAGTCACCCAATACCAGTACCAAAAAAGGGTTAGTATCTTTGAATTTTATAAAACCTCTGTACTTTATGCTGTCACTTTTCTTGTGAAATGGTTACTCATTTGCCTGGCATAGCAGAGACACTTTCATCTATCAAGAAGGACAAGCAGGAAAATGCAATAGTGTGGCCATAGTGGAGGTTTGAAGTTTGGTCTTGAATCATAAAACTCTTTTTCAGCACAGCAAGGAACTAGTTTACAAAGAGAAACGACTGCATGACTTAGATACAGAGAGAACAGCATGAAGTAAACTGCAAACGTTCTTACATGCTGTGCTCAAGCATGGTCGTCTTAGACGGATATAATGCCATCTCATTAAATGCTGTGGTCTCCTTAAGAGATCAGGTACTAGATTAGAGTCCGCTTTTTGATGTGAGTAAATTAGGAAGAGTCTTTTAAGTTGACAAATGTGATACAGAGTCAGTAAAGAAGGAATTGCAGAAATGTAGGTATAATGTCTGAGGACTAAATTCATCTATTATCTGATATTGATCATCAACAGATTATGTCATGTTTTGAATAACACTATACCATAAATTTTATTCTAAAGACAGACATTAAATAACTAAATTTTACCTTTCTTTTGATGTGTTATTCACAGTAAATACTTTAGTTTCTTTGAAATACATCAGGAGCTAACATGTTAAGCTGCATGTTGATGTAGCTGTATTTTCCCTCAGGGCTGTCTATGTATGTCTTCCTCTGGGTCTGACAGCTTCCTCCACACTGGCAGAGACCCTCTCATAAGATGGGGACAAGTGTCCTCCCACTCAATACTAAAAATAACATATGCCATTCATTTGCTCAGATATTCCGTATATATTCAAAAAATGGAAAATAATACCATGTCGAGAAACGTCCTACACAGGAGGTTCCCCGTTTTGCTTGATAAAATGAAATACAGATAAGAGCTGAGGAGTTTTTGCATACAAAAAATTATTAATATAAATGGGCTATACCTGTGACCTAAAAATAGGCAAAGACCTCAAAATGTTATACCCTTTTTTGGCCTAAATCAGTAAAAAGTTGTACAAAAGCGTAATTCAAACACTTACAAAAATAAATAAATAAATAAATGAAGGGAAATTTTTCGAGCATTTTTTTTTCTTTGCTGTTTTTCGGGTTATTGCTTTTTGTCCTTTCTGTTTTTCTAACTTTTTTCTTCCGTTTTTTTTTTTGTACTAATACCCCCCCCTTTCTGTTTTTTGGACAGGGGGATGAAAGTGTCTGAATAGGAGAAACAATTAGTCTGGAAAACAAAAACAAAACAACATAAACAAAATAAACAGTCCAAAAAACAGAAAAGAAAAAAAAAATCTTAAAAACAAAAAAAAATAGTCAGAAGAATGGAACAGAAAAAATAACAACAGAGCTTTATTTATTTATTTATTTACTTGGTGAATGCAATATGCTCCCGTAAAGTTGTAATTTTAGTGTAATAATAGTTATATTTTTTTAACATTTCTTTTTATTTTTTTATTTTTATTCTTATTTTTTTATTTTTTATTTTTTGCAGAGGGTTTTGAGGCACCTCCACGTGGCTATGCTAGATCCCCCTAAAGTTGCCAGATAGAAGATGGGTTACACTCTTTATGGTGGAGAAGGGAAAAATATCAATACAGCAATTTTATTACCTGTGTTTTATCACCATTTTATGTGCATTTCAGACTGGCAGAGGCAGAAGTACTCAATCAGACTGAATTGAACACCTAGACTATGATATAAATGAGCATCTCAGATACTGTCTGCTCTCTGTGTTTGTATTTCTAAGCCTCTCTGTTCCTGAAGATCACCATGGAGACTCATATAAATGGCACTGTAAACACAACTTCTGTGGCATAGTGTGAACTGGGTGGATAGGTCACAAAACTAATTTGGCTGTTCAGTTTAACTCCTATGTGATACAAGCATCAGCATGAAAGGATGTCCCTGTTGTGAAATCTTTATGTTGCAAATATTTGACAGTTTTTTTTTTTTTCTTGTGTTTTATTCCTCATATTTTAACATTATTCTGTGACCTCACTCTTTTACAATGGCAAAGTCTGAAAATAAATTCTCTTTTGTGTGTCCATTCCTCTAATGGAGTTCACAGCAGGGAATAGAAGCTAGCCTCTCAATGGGCATGCCATTTGTTCAATTATGAATATAGGAAGGGGGGGGACTCCAAGCACAAGTTGGACTCTTAAGAGCTTCGGTGACATGTTGGAGTCTTTTTCAGATGAAGAGCACCAAAATCTGAGTTATGAATAAAACAAGAGTCAAATAAATGTCAGAATTGGCTTGAAGGTCTTGCACTGAAAAACAATAGCAGCTCAAATAAAGACACGAGATTGATTCCTTCCCCTGTCACATCAGTCTTCCCATGTTGCTAGAATATGCCATGAGGAAGAAATCACAAAGGCAAAGGAAACAGTGGATCTAATTATGCTATCACAGTGTATTCTGCATGCTGCCACCTTGTGCCTTTATGCTGCTTGATAAGGCAAGACACTAAATTTTTCACTACATGTTATGACACATGCTAGCAAACAAGAAATTTGAAATGGTTATTGATCCCGTGACTGTCCAATTGATACATAACGTGATAAGGAATCCTGTAAAACAGAGGCAATGAGGGCTGTGCATTGTAAAGCACTGATTCATTTGGAGTGGTGCTAAGTTTCCAGTGCCTGTGACTCCCTCAAAAGCTCAGGAATCTGGGTCATCTGAGGGACCGATCTGAACATATCACACTTTTGCTGCAAATGAATTGGTCCCCAAGGTCTCCAGAGCTGCCAGCAACTCATGCTGTATGAGAGCTTCATTCATCAACACATTTTTTTGCAATGAGCAGCAACTTTTAAAAAGTCAGAGAGAAGTATGGTAATATATATTTTGTATTTTGACTTATTGAAAATCTGTGCGCAGTGAAGCTCAATTATAAAACTAAATTACAAACGGCTTCCTGTAATGCCAATCTTCAAACATCTGTGGAGATGAATGCATGGAATAACTGCAAGTTGTATGATGGGACTAACTTACAGTGTATGTCTTTAGCAAAAATGTAGTATGTGTATTAACACGTATATATCAGTGGAGTACATATGGGTTGGTAGGTGTGTGTATATTTCAGATAAAATCTTTTCATAACCTGAAGTTGGTCCATAGAAATAGAAACCAAGCTGATTTAAAATTAAAACCATATTTCAATGAGAAATCCTTCTCCTACAAACTCAACTAAAAAGGAAGAGCAGTCAATGCCCAAAAGGCTCGGTAAAACTTCTTGAGAGAAATATGTTCTTACTTCTTAAATCAATATTTCATCAGCACACATGTTACTGCCAAACTTGTCAAGGGAAAAGGGAACCCCCCCAATTCAGGTGAAATCTTTCCTGAATTATTGCAGGGGAATTAGACCTACTTTATGTGGGT